GGCTCTGTGCCCGGACATCTTGCTGACGAGGACGCCAACGGGCGAACCCCGTACTTGCAGTCGTGCAACTCGAGCATTCGACGAATGGGAAAGTAAATGTTGCACTGCTTGCAAACGTACACGAGCATACTCTTGGGCTTGTTTGACCTGGCTGGGAAAGACTGCGTCGGCGACGGTTTCGGCACGACGGAATGGAACTGATTGCCACAGCTTAGCACGTCCGTCAAGCGGCAGGACGCGAGTGTTCGCTGGCTGACTGCAATGGTTGCTTCGTCGAGTCTCTCAGCGAAAACCAACTGCTGACTGTTGCCTAGCCTGCAAAAAGAGAGAAGACAGTCGTTAGAAGTATCGAGAGTGATGTGCAGCGGCGACAAGTCGTGAACATTGTGGTGGTCAAGGAATGACAAATTGACTTGTTTAACGAGGCGGTGTTTGGTTGGGTATTAGGGAAAATGTTGCTTTATTCAAACGTTAACGCACTTGTTTGTACACAGATTGTCAAAAGAAGAGAGAACGTGAATCGTTTCAAGTGTCCGCCTGTGCAGTGAGCAGATCAGACAGAACGTGATCGATGGTAACACGCGGAAGAGGAGGATGAGTGCCCGGATGACTCTTGCGATGACTGATCAGGCCGGGCTTCTGCGTGAAGGACTTGCCACAAATGTCGCACAGGTAGGGCCTCTGGCCGGTGTGTATGAGCAGGTGTTGCCTGAGCGCGGTCTTCCTGCTGAAGGCCTTGCCGCAAAGCTTGCAATCGTGCGGTTTGATGCCCAAATGTATGCGCATATGAATCTTGAGTCTGCTCTGGCGCGTGAACGTCTTGCCACACTCCTCGCAAATAGCGTCCTGCCTCTGCTCATGCTGCTTGAGGACGTGCTCGTCGAGGTTGGCCTGGCTGACCATGCGCCGGTGGCAGATGTGACATTCGAACTCAGCCTTGTAGTGGGCGAATTTCTGGTGTACGTACAGCGAGTTGCTATTGCCGCAGGTCTTGCCGCAGACGTCGCAAATGATGGGCTGCTCGCGGTGCTGGAAGCGAATGTGATTGGTGAGGTCACCCTTGATCTTGTACTTCTTGCCGCACTGCTCACACTCGTAGTTGTACTCGTTGGAGTGCTTCCTGATCACGTGGACTTTCAACTCGTATCGATTCTTGTTAGTGTAGGGACACTGGTCGCAGCTGAACAGTCGATCCTTATTGCGGCTGCCAGACTGTTTGCTGTGTCCTGCTGCTTTCTTGATGTGCTGAAACAGTGCGTTTTTCTTCGCCGTCGAATAATCGCATTCGTTACAGAAGTAGGTGCACTGCGGTCGTCGTCTGCCGCCACCGTCACCGCCACTACTGCTGCTGCTGCTTCCAATTTCCTCCTTCTCCTCCTTCTCCTCCTCCTCCTCGTCCTCCTCCTCCTCCTTCTCCTTCTCCTCCTCCTCCTCCTCCTCCTTTTGCTCCTTTCGCTGCTGCTGCTGCTGCAGCTTGACCGCCGACGGCTTGATCTTGGACGACTTCATCTTCAACTGCTTCGGGTTGGACTTTGGGCGGTGCTTGCGCTTGTGAGAGTATAAGGTGCTTTTATTGGCACACTTGTAGTCGCACTCGTCGCAGGCGTAGCGCGCCGGTACCTCACTCCCCGGATTGGGCTTGTGCTTGCGGGTGATGTGCGACTGCAGGCCCGTGCGCGTGAAACACTCGTAAGTACACAGGTGGCAAGAAAACGAGCTGCTTGCCTCTTCGCCAGGTTTTCTGCAGGAATGAAAGTCAAGGTCGTCCTGAACGTAGCTGGAAAAGCCACACTGACCGCAGGTCATCTCCGTTAGTTCCAGTTCCTCCACTTCCTCATCTTCGGCCGATTGCTGCTGTTGTTGCTGCTGCTGTTGCTCGTTGACGCTCTTTAACTCAGCAGTCATCATCGCACAGTGTTTGGCTGTAAAGTGATCGATCATCAACTGACGCTCGCATGTGCTAAACTCGCAGGTCGGGCAAATGAACTTGAGCTTCTCGTTGCTACTACTGCAACTCGCTACATCGCTGGTGGCACTTGTAGTTTTATCCTTGCGCGCTTGTTTTTTGTTGACCTTATAATTCTTCAGGGACTCGTGAGCCGAGCGATGCCATTCGAGACGTACTTCCGAAGTACACTGCAAATCGCACTCGTCACAAGTACATTTTTCGAGCTCCTGACAGCTTTCCGCAGTCGACGCTGCCTGTTGTGCTGCTTCGTCTGCAATAGGGACGAAAGTGTAGGTAGCTTCGTCCTCGACGTACTTCACCTCGTACAGGGCCATTGTCGTACCGCTACTACTATCATCCAACCTTGAACAGAGTAAAAAAAACAACTCGGTTAGCAGTTGGCTGCAGAACAGACAGGCAATCGTAGTCGGCTGGTCGGACGATTATTACTTACTCTGTTAAGTTTTTTTTAAGATATTAATAATTCAAAAATTTAGCTAGTAAAAAGACAAGGAGTGCAATTTTATTGCTTACTAACGATGCGCGACAGAAAGGTGCGCAAGGTCCAAGTGCGAAATAAACAGACGGTTGTTCATCAAACATTACTCTATTTATTGATAATTTCAATAAATTGTAAATTAAACATTTTATTTGAAATTCAGTAACAAACTGTACTGTAGATGTTATAGTAAACAGCAAACGTTGGTAGACGAGTATACATCACACAACTGTAGGATGTTAGTAGATGACGTCTTGTCTATCGATGAATTATGTTATAATTTCTAAATGAACTGAATAAATCAATATCGAAGGAAATACAAAATTAATTGTTTTCCGTAGGGTTACGGTGGGTACGAATAGCTTCGGTAGGAACTGATCACAAAGCAAGAGTTGTTGCGAACGAACAATGCGAGGCCAATTTCAACCAGAATTAGCTTGCGCGATCGATCGGACTCTTGAGATTCGTAAGAAGCCAGAATTAGGCCTTGCATGAGCTCGCTCCGATTATCATCGAGCTCCGCATTCACTTTGGTCTTGAGTGAATCAAAGAAATTGGTGAGTATGACCGGAGACGGCGACACCGTCTGCTCGAAGTGCTTTCCCCTTCCAATGCAACATCATGGACGATCCCTGATAGAAGCTGTAACTACAAACGTTGCACATGTAGAGCTTGACTTTAGCATAGATCAGGTAGTGAACTCTCATCGTGGCCATGCAGACGAAGAATACACACGCTTCTTGTGTTTGTTGAGGTAATACTTTTTGATGCACTTCAGGTCGCACTCGTCGTAGCTAAAGTGCTGACGACGGTCATGCTGCTTGCTCATGTGAGCTTCGAAATTTTTGCCCGTCTTGGTGCTTTTGGTAACAGAGCTCGCACTGATATTTGTACTTAATGACATGCGTGACCGCGCGATACTTAGAGAGCGACTGGTGCCCACAGGCGTCGCATACGTGCTGCGACACGCTGTGCGTGCCTAGGTGAAACTTGAGATTCATCTTCATTTTGAAGAGTTTGCCATAATGACCGCACTCGAAGAGTTGTAGTCTTGGCTGTGCTTGCAGACCATGTGGGTTTTCGGTATTCGTTCTTGGCACGATAGTCGCATTGGTCGCAGCAGTACAGGAAGTCGGAACTATTTTTGAAGTGCTGCACTGATATGTGGACTTGAAGCTCCTTCTGGACTCGTCGCACGTGAACAGCCTCGATGCTTCATTCCAACGTGTGCCTTGACTTTATAACGTTGAGGGAATTTCTCGGCGCAAAATCGACAAGCGAAACCGCTGCCCCTCATCTTCTTGAACTTTCCGTCATAGCTTTACGTCACCGCGTTTCCAGCGGAATCTCGTCGTACGAGTCCGAACAGCTGCCAAGCCTTTCTCACTCTATCAGCATCCGCCGCGATTTCTACCGCTGATGCATGCTCACCTTCTCCTAAAACACAAATTCCGTTTGTTAGTTGAATATGCTTTGTTGTGTTCTTAACGACTTAATTACTGGTAATTTTTCGGAGTATCACAAATGACTTTCTTTATCAAAATGTCAGTAAATGAGATAACGTTTATTGGTATATAAAACGATCAATAAACGTAATGACCAAATTGCGATTCTAACTGCTGCTACTAGTCTGAAACAAAGGAAAATTAAAAAGTGGTGCATGCGGTTCGTTATCGATCAATTGGCTTGAATACTCACGTCGCCGCCGTGCAGCCAAAATCTTGCCCTGCTCATCAAAATAGTGTTGTATCTGGATAGCCAGTGGCACCACAAGGCTGTTGTACCTCGCCTTCCAGTGCGTCATCAGTGCCAACCTCCGCGAATAATAAAGTTCACAAAGTCGGCACGCTTACGGCTTGATGTCATAGTGCGTGTGTGTGTGTGTGTAAGAGAGCATGCACACGCATGGTATTGCGGAGGATCAAAGTTTGTCGGCAATCAGGGAAGCTGTACGGGCGCCCGCCTGTATGCACGAGCAGGTGCTTTTTCATGTGATTTTTGTTCGAGATTTGCTTTCCACAGTGGTTGCAGTTGAAACAGTTGCCGGTGAACTCGTTAGTTATGAGCTGTTTGCTCTCGGCAGCTGCCTTCTTGATCTGCTGTTCGACTAGGTAACGTCGAAGCGCATCGACACTCGCAAAAATTGTTTGGCAAACATGGCAATCGAAGCTGATTGTCCAGTCCCCTGTAACGATTCCCAGTAGCTTATTGGCTGCACTGTCATCGAACTGACGGCAGCTGACGGCTTTTCGAGGATTCTTGGGTTATCTGATCATCATCTGATCTGAATGCGACGTCCTCATATGTCCCAGTAACTGCAACTTGAAAGAAAATCCTCTTTTGCACGCGTCGCAGAACAACCGGCTGATCTTTCTTGCTTTCAATGGCGATGTTTTTCGTTGCGTAAACAGCTGCTCGTGATCATGTATTGTTCGCCAGTTTTTAAACGATTTACTGCAACTCTTAGAATGGCATTGTACTCTTTCTCCTGCAGCTTGGAAAATTAATATTAGAATCATTACCAATATGATTTGAGCTTCTCAATCTCACTTTTCAGTTAGCACAACTGCCACTAAGTTCATCAATCAAGCTAGTCCCTTCGTGCGTGAGGCATCCAGACTTGACGATAAGTCGATGGTTATCGCTTTGAACAATCGCGCGACTAATAACCGACGAGACAAGTCGTTGCTGAGCAGCAGGCTTTTACGAACTTACAATTAGAGGAGTTGAAGAGGAAAAAATTGAGATAGTTCGCGTTCCGACACAAAGACTGCCTCGTTGCCCTATGAAAATAGCTTTATTCAATATGTGATAAGTTACAACGAAGCTTGTATAAATGAGGGTAAAAAGAGCTAAATATTTTTCAACTTACGAAAAAATTATATACACTCATACATGTACACACGTATATAGATATCTCAATAAGAAATACTGATTTATATTTGGCGTCGTATCATTCAAATATGCTTATTCTCATCCTTACAGCATTAGGCATTAATGACACTTTGTAATGGCAAGTTTGCATATATAAATAAGCTAAAAACCTAGTAAAATACCAATTTACGCACCTTCTTACGACAGACAATCTTGCACAAACTTAAAGATTAATTTTATCGTAGATTCGTGCGAATGAAGCGCAACATGGCATCGGACTATATCGAGGTTGGTTTTAGCTTTAGGGCTGTCGTCGACTGGTCGACGTGCAATCATGATTGCGAGCGTGCGCGTGCCAGCGACGTCGGCGTCTGCTTCGGCAAACAAGAAAACAACAAAGGACTAAAAATGTTGTCCACTGTGACGGCTGCCGAGTAGATCGTTCAGGCGAACGGGCGGTGGAAGCTCCGTCTCTCCGGGGTGCTTCTTCCTCCAGTGGGCCATCATTGGCGTCCTCTGGGTAAAGGCCGCACCGCAGACGTTGCATCTGTAGGGCTTCAGGCCGACATGTACGAGCGAATGCACCTTCTGGATGGTGGGCGAGGCGAAGACTTTAGCGCAAACGGGACAGGTCAGAGCCATTTCCCTGGTGTGGGTATTGCGGTGCTGGAAAAGCCGCCTCTTGGTGGAGAATTTGAGACCGCAATCGTGGCATTCGAAAGCTCGCTCGTGCAGCTTGACGTGCTGATCGAGCGCCCTCTGGCAGCTAAGCTTTTTGTGGCAGGTTTTGCAGGCGAAGCTGTCGGGCCTTGTGGCAAGTCTGTGGGTGCTGAGGTGCGCGCGCAGCAAGTGTCGGCCACGATATAGCTTGCCGCAGATTTCGCACATGAAGCAGGCGTCGCCGTGGATGGCAATGTGCTCGGCGAGCTTGAGCTTCGATTTAAAATGCCTGCCGCAGTGGTAGCAGGTGAACCGCTGGCCGTCACCGTGAAGCCTGTAGAAGTGAGATATGAACGAGCCGCGATTGGTCGTGCTGAAGCTGCACTTGTCGCACGAGTAGACAGGCCTGTCGGGGTCGTGCTGCGACAGCAGGTGCGCGCTCAGCGTGAACGCGCGCTTGAAGCTCTTGCCGCAGCTCTGACACTTGTATGAACGTAGCTCGCTGTGGCGGTTGTGCACGTGCGAAATGATCTGCTGACGTCGAAGTTTTGACACTCCGCACAAGTTGCAACGGTAGTCGTTGCTGTTGGTCGTAAACATCAGCTCGTACGTTGCCTTCTTCTTTGGCCTAACCATTTCCGGTGCCCCATTTGCCTGAGCTTCCGCGTGGGATCCTCCAGCCACCACTGCTATCGATTGCTGCTGCTGCTGCTGCTGATGCTGCTGCATTTTTCCGTGCGCCATCGCGCTACTGGACTTTTTCACCGGAGCCATGGACGGAAACTGCGCCCCATCCATCCGTTTCATCCTCGACATCGTCCTAAAACAAACATTTGACTGAGTGAGCGGCGACGGAACACTTGCCGATAGCGATATAAGAATTATTACGTACAATGTAAATGTCGCAGAGCCTTTGGCTATTCGGACCATTCTTGAATATGTCGGCCAATCTTGGATTAAACTGAAGGGTGTGCGTTACGCGAAGAACGACAAATGCGGAGTTGAGAAATCGCAAATACTTTATTTACGTTTCATGAACAAGATAAAAAAAGTACAAAATCCAACGTGTTCAAACAAAAAACTCAAGTGCTTAAAATTACGATACACAGTTGTCAGCTAGAAATATCGTTGCGCACGGACTATACAGAGCTTTGCAGCAGACAACGGGAAACGGACGAAGAACGAGAAACGTACTTAAGAGGTAGGCAGGCAGCGCGACAAGAGCTGCAGCAACGGGCGCAACGGGCTACGAGCACTGGCCGGAAGGGAAGCAGGGTCGCGCCCGAGGCAGAGCTAGGCCAGCAGCTGGACGCCGTTCTTGACGAAGCGCCGGACGACGTCCTCGGCGCTGCGGCGCAGCGCCCGCTGCGAGACGGCCGGCAGGCGCACGTCCAGCAGCAGGTGCTGCTCGATGGCGTGCGCCTTGAGAGCCCGCCAGGTGTCGTGCAGCTTGCCGCAGGCCTCGCAGCGGAAGGAGCGCTGCACGTCGCTGTGCCGAATGATGTGGCGGTAGAGCGAGCGCAGGCTGTTGTAGGGCTCGCGGCAGAGCGGGCACGCGAGCAGCGAGACGGAGGGGGCCACGCCCATCTTCGCGGGCGGCCCCCCCGCGGCCAGCCGGCGCGCGCAGTTGTGGAACCTGAAGTGCGCCACCGTGGGCACGGCCCGCTCGCAGGCGTCGCAGTAGAGGTTCTCGCGGTGCAGGCTCGGGCAGTCATCGGAAGCCAGCGGCAGCCCGAGCCGCCGGCTGCAGCCCAGGCAGAAGGGCTTGGGCGGCGGCGCGGCCCGCTCGCGCGGCTCCTCGTCCCGGAGCGCCGCCGCGCTGCACAGCCGGCAGTGCTGCAGCATCTCGTGGTAGAGTCGATGGTGCTCGGCGAACTCACTGATGCCGCTGAGCTCGTGCGAGCAGTAGCGACAGAAGAGGCGCTGCTCACCGGCGCTGTGCACCGCGCGGTGGTGCTTGAGCAGGTCGTCGGGGTCGTGGTAGACGACGCCGTTGAGGCACGAGGCGCACTCGTACTCGCCGTCCTCGAGGCTGCGGAACGTGAAGTCCGCCTCGGGCTCGCGCGCCCCCAGGCCCCGCGCGGCGCCGGGCCCTCGGCCCTTGCCGGCCCGCCGCTGCCAGTGGGCCTCGCGCCGGCGGTGCTCGTCGAGCAGCGCGGCCGACACGAACTTGGCCCGGCAGGCCGGGCACGCGTACAGCCGGTCGTAGCCGTACTCGTCGTCCGTCGCCTCGGACAGCTCGCTCTCCTCCGCGTCCTTGGACGCCGCCGCCGCCACCGCGCAGTGCAGGTATCGACGGTGCTCGAAGATCTCGCGGGTCGTGCCGAAAGCCAATTTGCAGTCTTTGCAAAAGATCAGCGGCCGCACCTCGCTCCACTGCTCCGAGGAGGCCCGGTCGAGCGGCGCCGGCTCCTCCGTGGCCGTGGCCGTGGCCGTGGCCGTGGCCGTGGCCGAGGCCGCCGCCGCCGCCGTTCCTTCCTCGCGGCCGCACTCGTCCTCTCCGGCCAGCTCTTCGAGCTCGCATCTCGTTTTCTCCTGGCAGACGCGCCGATGCACGTACAGCACGTGCACTGACTTGAAGTACCTGCGACACGTGCGGCAATATGGCTTCGACGACTGGCGTCGTTTCTTTGGTTTCTTCTGGCTTCTGGCAGCCATTCGACAATGATTGTTGTTCTCCTCCTTCAGCCAATGATACTCGCGCAACTGGGCCTTCATCATTTCGATTTCCAGCGCGTTCCAACGGGGCAGTAATATTCGCGGCACTTTGACACCGATAACACTGAGTCTGCAACAGGCAAGAAGGATCATACGTCAGTTGGATTGGTCTGCGCTCATACCTACACGAGAAAATACAAATTTACTGCTTGCTCGTCTTTTTGTTTGTTTGCTTGTTTGTTTGTTTGTTTGCTTGTTTGCTTGTTTGCTTGCTTTATTTGTTGCTCGTTGGCTCGTCCGCGTGTTCGTTCGTTTGTCCGTTCTCTGTTGGACCATAGACCAACTCGACAAATAGACAAGGCAGTCGGATAGACTTTGCATTCAGTTTATTGAGATTATGTTTTAGATACAGTTGGAATATAAAGGTAAGTGTAGAAAAAATTATACTTAAAGCTATCTATGTTCGCACGTTATTGCGATTGTAATTGGCAGCGAGTATGGGCTAGCGAAAATTATAAAACGAATATAAAAAGAACAAGTTCAGTCATCATATCTGCCGGGATAACGAATTATAGATAGTCCTTTGAGAGCTAATTATTATTTCATAGGTTTGGCACTTTGACGATAAAATTAATCATTTCGTAGATTGGTAAGAACATCAACAATTGCAAAGGTTTGGCTCTTGACTGACTCGTCAAAGTTGTAGTAGCAAAAGTATCAATGACTACCTAGCAGAGTTACCATGACACGCGACCACGCCAGTAATATTTGACTGTAATGTTTCGAAAAAATTGTTGTGTGAGAAAAAATGCAAGACACGGCGGCCGTCTGCACTTGTTATTCATGACCGAAAATATCCTGTAATTAAGCAATGTAATAGATCTTCAATCTTCAATAAGCCATTATTGGCGACATAAATTTGTTATTGGCCACCTCATTGACAACCTTTAAAACAGCGTAACGGCTTAAACTTATCCGAAAATTTTATCTTAGACTTCATTCGCTGATACTACGAGGTCTCTACATTGTTAGGTCGTTGTCCCCCTTACAAGATTAGTCGCATGCCCATTTTGACCGGTTAGGCGAAAATAGCCCGTAAGTCTAACAATTTTCACTTTTTATATTTTGCTACGTTTCAAATAGTTCAGTAGCTTATAAGGAATTTCCTCAAAACTGAAGCTACAGTGGCTCAATCAGTGATGCGCGTGTCGCGGTAACTCTTCTAGTATTCCCAGTAAGTTCAATCACCATAAACGCTGTACTTTAGATCACTGCAACATCTTTTGTTTTTCTATTAAAGACAAAAACCTTAGTAGAAATAGCATCGAAAAGTTGACATCCAAGTAAAATATCTTGAGACTATTAAAAAAAAATACTGTGTAGGTTGGTTAAGTACGTATGGACGGTATTGTAATGTAGCGCGTTAAAAACCTATACGATACATGAGATATACGTGAGTGTATATGTTGAATAATGAGAAAAGCGATTGAATTGAGCATCCGTCAGCAGATCGTTCGTTGGGGCGCGAAACAGTCGAAGAGACGGTTGACTCGGGCAAGACGGGCTGCTCGCACAGTGAGGTCATCTTGACTGGCAAGCGTTATTGGACGGAATCGACTTGTCGGAAGCCAAAACGTAAAGACTACTTAGGCACGATAAAAGTTGGCGCACGGTTTGGCTGGAGTCGCCAAGCCGAGGCGGTCAGTACCAATTGTCGAGGACCTTCCTGGCGAGCTCGGCGATGGGCACAACGGGCGGTGGGGCCCGAGGCAGCGGGCCGGGGTGTGTCCTGCGATGGCGGATGAGCGTGGACCTCTGAGTGAAGCCGTCCTGGCAGATATCGCACTTGTAGGGCCGAACCTTAGCGTGCATCAGCACGTGCTGATAAAAGTTGCTTCTCGAGGCGAAGCTTCGGCCGCAGATGGAGCAGCGCGTGGCCGGCTTGTGCTTGGTCTTGTGGTTCATGAGCTGGCTGGGCCCCGGGAACGACTCTCCGCACTGGTTGCAGCTGTAGCGCTGCACGTGGCGCATCAGGTGGTTCTCCAGCTTGGACTCGCTGAGAAACTTCTTGAAGCAGAGGCCGCAAGGATAGATCTTGGCGTCGTGCTCGCGGTCGAGCTTCTTCTGGTGGTGCCACTCGTGGGCCTTGACGTTCTTCACCACTTTGCCGCAGAAGCGGCAAATCTGATAGGTGCACATGTGCACCTGATTGATGTGCAGCATCAGGTCCTGCTTGAGCTTGTAGCGCTTGCCGCAGTGATCGCACACGTACTTCTCTTCCATGTCGCTGTGCACGCGAACGAAGTGCGACTGCAGAGTCTCCTCGCGCTTGTACTTGAGGTGACAGATCGCGCACTCGAAGTGCGAGTCGGTGTTGTGGGTCTTGCGATGAGCCTCGAGGGCCTCCGCACTGAAGTACTGTCTGCGGCAGAGGTCACACTTGAACCGCCTTCGGTGGACGTTGCGAACGTGATTGGCAACCTTACGCTCGTCCGAGAAGATCTTATCGCAGAACGGACAGATGCAAGCAACTTTGTCGAATTCTTGCATGCTGTTCCGCAGCCAGCTGGGCCGCTTGCGCTCGCGCCGCCTTTCCCGCGCGCCACGGTCCGACGTCGCGGCCTCGCTCACCGACGACGACGGCGGCTGCTGCTGCTGCTGCTGCTCTGGCTCGCAAACTCTACGAAGTCGACGGCCGTGTCCTCTCGGTTGCTGCTGGACGACGGTACTGAAACATGTAGCAGATGGCGATCGCTCGATTAGTTGTAGCTGACGTTGGGGACGCTCGACTGGCTACGTGTCTACTGAAGACAGGCGTCTTTCACCTATTCTCGCTCGATCCCACGAGAGATACGAACTGATAAGCGAAAGTTTACCTTTTGCCTTTCTGTGTTTCAGTCGCGGGTCTGGAGCGCTGGTGTATAGACAAGCAATTAGCGTTAGCACGATATCACTGACGTCTTTTGTGCAGTTTACATGTCGTAGTAGTCTGTCTAGTTTGATAATTGTTATCGCTTGGACAACGCGCTTTCGTTAGCGAAGTGTCGACTCGGGTGGACAAATTATTTTATTAGGCCTGCAAAGAAAATGGTTCAAGGTTAGATCCGTTAGTTACGTGCATTCCCAACATTCAACACTTACCTATTGGCACTCGACTTGTTTGCTACGTAATACAAACAGTCGCGGTCGGGGCAATAATGTGAGTACAACGACATTGTTCAACTTATGACATTTATTTTGCTCTGGTGCTAATTACAAACAGATATTCGATGGATATACGAACTGCGGAACGAAGAACAGCTCATCTCGAGCCACAATGAAAATGAACATGCGACAAAAGCATCGAGAAGAAGAGAAGAAAGAAGGAACGACATTGGCGCAAGCTGGCGAATCGCAACGGCGAGGACGCGGGCGCGCTCAGACGCATGTGGACTTCTGGTGAGCTGTGAGATTGCCCTGACAGGAGAAGCCTCGATGACAGATCTGGCAAACGTAGGGCCTCTCGCCGGTGTGGCCTCTTCGGTGGATGGTGAGCGTGGAGCGCTGGCTGAAGGCCTTCGGGCACTGGTCGCACTTGTACGGCCTCTCGCCCGTGTGAACCCGCCGGTGCATCCTGAGATTCTCCGAGTCGGTGAAGCCCTTGCCGCACTGGTCGCACACGTACGGCTTCTCGCCGGTGTGTATCCGCCGGTGCTTCTTCAAATGCTCTGCCGAGCTGAGGCACTTGCCGCAGAAGTCGCAAAGATAGGGTTTGCTAGGGTTATGGCTGTCCCGGTGCCTGAGCAGGCTCCTCTTGGTGGCCAACACGCGACCGCAGATGTCGCAGGCGGTGCTGCTGGCGAGCTGGCGACGCTGGGCCCTCAGCTCCGGGTGCAGCTTGCGACAATGCGCCGACAGCTGCCTGCGCAGACAGAAGGCCGCCTGGCAGGCCTGGCAGGCGAACGGCCGCTCGCCCGAGTGCACGTTGTAGTGCTCCTGCAGCTCGCCGGCCTTGCGGAAGCCCCGCTGGCAGTTGTGGCACTGGAAAGGCAGCTGCGTCCCGTCGGCGTGCCGCGCCGCGTGGATGCTCAGCGCCGCCAGCACCGTGGTCTCGTAATCGCACTGTTCGCACGAGTAGCTCGGCGCGAAGTGGGTCTTCTCGTGCCTGGTCAGGTCGCGCCCCAGGTGGAACTTCTTGGGGCAGTGGCCGCAAGCGAGTTCGCCCGCGCCGTGTCTCGACACGTGCTTCTGGTAGTTGCTGCGGTGCCGGAAGACTTTGCCGCACGAGTCGCAAGCGAGCTGCTGTGGCTGGCGCTTGCGACCGCCGTAGCGGCCGCCGCCGCCGCCGCCCCCGTCGCCCCCGCCGCCGCCCCCGCCGTCGCCGCCGCTTTCGATGAGGTCGCGGTGTCTCTTCATGTGGTGCCGCAGACCGAGCGCGCTGCCGAACACCTTGCCGCAGTGGGCGCACTCGTATCGCCTCTTGCCGGCGCGCTGCTCCTCGCTGCCGACCATATGTCTGTTTAGTTGGCTTTGAGACGAGAAAACTTGAGCGCACGCTCGACAGTCGTAAACCGGCGTGAAATCCTCCTCGCTGCGCACTTGCTCCATGCCTACTTCCGTCTCGAGAGAATGCGACTTGATCAGCATCTGCTGCTTCTTTTTCGTGATTACAAGGCCGAGCTCGCTCGCCAACACCATCACCGATCTGAAAATTTGAAACAACAACTCAGTCTGTGTTAGCGAGCCGTTTCCTTTCTTTTTTCCATGCCGCATTTATATTTTCGTTCGTTAACTTGATCATTGGGGCAATTGATCGAATGTTATTTGCGGGACCCGACATATATACGATAATCGAGTTAGATATTGCGAGACGACTCATTTGGATCGAGTATTGATAGGTCGCGACGGCTCTTATGCAGGCGTTGATATAGTTTAGACGCTTCTGCAACTCGAGTGGATTTTTCAGGCTGGCTAAAATAGATTTTCGCTATTAGCGATTATTCGTCAACACTTACGTGGACGCATCCCCAGTTATGTTCGATTGCGCGAATTAAGTGTGGCTGTGTATAACAGTCTCCGGAGCAGCAAATATCGTTGAAAAAGTTGACGAAACACCTACCCTATTCTTATGTACTAGCGGTCACCCCGAAGACTGAAAAATCAATTGCAACGCGACTCCTATTGCAACTTCATATCGATTGATCGGTCTATTACGATATGTCTATTCGTAGCAACTTACCTCTTAACTATGGATTCCTAATAAAAGTTCTTACAATTTTAAAACGTCGCACGTGTATTTTTCTCTCAGATATTTCAGGGAGATTCTCTTTCAGTAATTTAAATTCGCGCCTTATTTTTTTCGTCTTTTCTTTTCATATTCATTTTAATGTACAAATATCGACGAAAAAGAGAATTTTAGACATCTATATATATACTTGTAATTTAACCGAAATTCTTTTCGATCGACTCATTTCTTTCGATGGACCAAGCCTTACGAACATTATTGAAAACTTTTTATTGAAATCTATCTTGACCCGAAATAACCGTAAAAGATAAGTCTAATTCAAAAAGTTAATAGAAAAAAAATTTTTTTTTTATATTTTACAGTTTGTTTCTTTTTGAAATAAGTTTTAGTAAAAAATTTCAAGTAATATTCTGTAAGGCTTGCTTCATTGCAGGAAACTAGTCCTCGAGAAATTATTTTCATAACGTATTTTGATAACGAGTACAGAACGTGAAACATTAAAGAAGTTAATAAAACTTATAGTTTTACAAATCAAGATATAATGGTGCTACTGTAATTTCTTTTTATTTTGTCAAGTAGAATAAGTGATGAATTTTATAATCTTACATGTGAAAATTTTAAATTCCATGTCGAAAAACATGTTGGAAATTTGAAGGATTGAAGGGAGACCCACCTAGGATAAGCAAAAATGATCGTAAGGGCAATCGAGTAAAAGCGTAAAGGTTGATATCATAAATAAATGTTTATTGAACGCTTACAATCATCCAGCACGTGTTTTTAGAAAATTAAAAGCAATGTCAGTAGTTGCTCAAAAAGCAAACGTACGCGACCAGTTTTGGAGCAAATCTTTTGAGATTTGATATGCATCTTCAACCCCGACCGCGGAGCCGACCGCAGAGCTCACATTTGTGAGGTCGTTCAGGCGTGCAATATCCAAACAGCTGATTCCTTCCTTCGACGCCAAAGGCGTCGCGTCGCGTGGTACAAGTTACAAGAGCTAAGAGGCACGGCGGCGCTGATCGGCGGCATGAGTCTTCATATGAACTTTCAAGGTGTTGCTTTGCGCAAAATCCCTGCCACACCGTTCGCACTTGTACGGCTTTTCTCCTGTATGCGTCCTCGTGTGAACGACAAGATTCTTCTTCATGGCGAACGTCTTACCGCAGTACTCGCAGACGTAGGGCTGCTCGCCCGCGTGTATCCTCAGGTGATCTTTCAAGTGCTGCTTGGTGATGAGCTTCGCGCACAGGTGGCAACTGGTCGTGTTATCGCCGGCGTGTGCGCTCACATGGAGTGTCAGACTCTTCTTGTGGAACGACTGGAAGGGGCACTGTTGACAGGCGTATTTCTTCCTATTAGCCGGGTCGTCGTGCGCTTTCCTGTGGGTGCGCAAGTAACTCAGCGAACGGTAGGATTTTTGGCAGATTTCGCAGACGAACGGCCGCTCCTCGGTGTGAGTAACGAGGTGCGCGTCGAGCGAGACTTTGTCGTAGAAGCCCTTGCCGCAAAGTCGACAGAGCTGCCTGTACTCTTTCTTGTGACGGCGCACGTGCTCGCGCAGAACGGGCGCGGAAGAGCACTTGTCGCCGCAGAGCTCGCATATCAGCCTCTTGTCGTGGACGCCGAGGTGGACGACCAGGCTGTGCTTGGTCTTGAACTTGCGCTTGCAGTGGTCGCACTCGACCGGCAACACGTTGTGTCGAGTCTCGACGTGCGCCTCGAGGGCTCGCCTGTCCAGGAAGAACGTCGGCCGCCAGCGACACTGCTCACAGCGGATACGGGGACTACTCGTGTGGTCGATCCTGTGCTGCGCCAAGCCACGCCGTGTGGAGAAGCGCTGACTACACCGGTCGCACTCGTAAGTGGCGACAGTGACGTGCCGATTTTGCGGATCGAGTGTCGGCTTGTGAGTCGTTCTACGGTGCCAAGCCAGCACCATGTCCGTGTGGAAAGTCTGATCGCATAGGTCACAGCGTGCCGACTTGCTGACCTCGTAACGCCTCATGTGATCTCGAAAACTGCTTCGCCACTTTGTTCTGAAGCCGCAATACTTGCACCGGTACCGCCTGTTGCGCTGCCTGTGCATGTACCTAATGTGTGCGGCCAGGCCCTTCTGGCTCTTCAGTGCTTTGCCGCACTCGGGGCAGTGCAGACTGTTCCAGCGCTTCGGCGTCCTAAAACATAGAGATATCACAACCGAGTCTTAGTCGACTGAGAAGTGCAGACTGTAAATTCCGTCCAGATCGAGGGACCAATGGGTGAAGAAAGAATCAACGACAAGAGAGTCGCTGGCTTCAAAATGTATCGTTTATTTGCAACAAGCATACACGTGACAATTGCAGTATTCGTAATTGGCAATTGCCGCATATGAGAGTGAAAAATGGTAAGACACGGTGGTTCAACAAGCGGCGTCCATCTCCTGCTGCTGTTGCTGATCAACGAATTCCTCGAACATCGGCTCTTCTTGTTCCGATGTCGCGTGCTCGACGATTTCTACAATGGCTACGTCCTCGTCGACGATGACTTGCTGTTGCTTCTGCTCGTCGGTGTCGTGGAAGCCTCGTTCCATCCTTGCGCCGCTGCGGCACTTTCTCATGAGCTGTTGCTGCTGCTGCTGCTGCTGCTGTTGCTGCCAGGGTCTCGTATCGGTGATCTCTCCGGGATGATGCTTGCGCACGTGCAGCGTAAGCGTCCCCCTCTGGGTGTACCGTTTGTGGCAGATCCGACACTGATACGGCTTCTCGCCGGTGTGCGTGATCAAGTGCTTGGTCAGATATTTCCTAGCGCTGAACGATTTGCCGCAATACTCGCAGACCTCCGGTTTCTCGCCTGTGTGTATTCGCGCGTGTATAGGCATGTAGGCTCGACGCAAGTGCTTGCCGCACACGTCGCAGGGCAGCTGGCCGTCGCCGGTGTGCTTGTACATATGCTGCCTGAAACAGCTCTTGTAGTGCGTCTCGTAGCCACAATGCTCGCACTGGTACTTCTTGCGGTCCCTCAGCTCGACGTGCACCTGCTGCACGTGCTTCTTCAAGTAAACCTCGTGGCGGAAGCTTTTGCGGCAGATCTGGCAAACGAGTGGCTTGTCGTCGCGGGCGTGGGCGGCCAGATGGACCTTGAGACTCTGGCGTTGATGGAAGCCCTTGCCGCAGATGTGGCAGAACTCGCTGAGATCGCTGCTGTGCTCGTCTCGCATGTGCTCGCGGAGCTGAGCCATCGTGCCCAGGTGGCCGCGGCACATCTGGCAAGCGATGTTCTCGCCGTGCGCCATCGCCGCGTGCACCCGCAAGTATTTGCTCTTCTTGAAAAGCTTGCCGCACTTCAGGCACTGGGCCGGCGCCTCCTCGCCGCGGCCTTCGCTCGGTGCTGTGAATCCCGGCTTGCCTACGGACTGCCGCCGCCGCCGCCGCCGCAGACTCGCCGGTAACTCATCCAGGTTTATCGGACCGCAACTGTGTCGATGCCTGTCCAACGCGCCCCGATACGAAAACTCGCGCTGACACGTGTCGCAGGGGAACTTGGCCGCGGGCTCCCTCAATGCTGCTCGCGTGCGAACGATCGACCGCTCGGTTTTATGAATGATGAGGGACGAGCGATCACTGAACTGCTCATTGCATGAATCACACTCGTAGGTCGCTCCGACCGGCAGGATATACTCTTCGAAATTGTCCTTGACGAAATTCGACTCGTCCACTTGAGCATCGATGTTGGTTGCGCTCGGCACTGCAGCAGCATCTTCCGGATTCGACTTTAGCCACTCAAGACCCGCGACGATCACAGCTGGCGATGAACTGCCACTGTTGATCTTGAAGTCCACTGGCGTAAGGCCGTGCTCGTCGCGCTTACGCTTCAGAATCGACGGCTTGAGTCTGTTTGTCCTGAAATCGACAAGAGACTCTCGTTAATTGACATTGGTTGGGTTGATTTTTCGTCTGTTTTGCGAACGTTCAATAGAGATAACAAAAATGCGCGCATATCTTACGTCGAGCGTAAATTACTTACTCTTCGTATTTGAGTATTAAAGAGTCGTCCGCTATTACTAGTGAAGCGTGTTAAGCGACGTTAGAGAATGATTGAAATAAAGAAGATTAATGTTTTCGTGGAATAATTTAATGATTGTGGTTGTTGTAGTCATCGCAGGCGTACATCATGATAAATGTGGAGCGATCAAAGAGACCGAAGATGAAAAGCGGGCGGACGAGCGAGCGAACGACAAGGCTTCAGGTGGACAGCGCGCACTTGTGTCTCTTAAGCCAGACATTCTGCGTGAAGCTCTTCTCACAGGTACCGCATTTGTAGGGCTTGACCTTGCTATGGGTCCTCTGGTGGACCACGAGGTTCTTCATCTGCCTGAAGCTCTTGGAGCAGAGGTTGCAGGTGAAAGGCTTCTCGTCGCTGTGTATCCTCTTGTGGATCTTGAGGTAGTAGTTGCTGGCGACGGCCTGGCCGCACTCGTCGCAGATGACCTTGGCCCCGGTGTGGGTCTTCATGTGCGTCTTGACGGCATTCTTCCAGAAGCTCGAATAACCGCAGACCTCGCAGGTGTACTTCTTGGGCCGGCCCTCGGGGTTGTGCACGGTCACGTGAAGGGTGAGGCTGCGCTTGTCGGCGTAGCACGAGCCGCAGGTCTGGCAGACGAACGGTTTCTCGCCCGTGTGGCTGATGGTGTGCCGGTCGAGGAGCGCCCTCGAAGGGAAACCCTTGTTGCACTGTTCGCAGCGTATGTCGTAGGCGTCGGCGTGGTGTTTCTCATGCTTTTTGATGTAGGTCATGCTCGCGGTTTGAAAGCCGCAGTAACGACACTGGTAGGTTTTGTTTTTGTGCTTGCCGGCGATATGGCTCTCGCAGCCGTACTTGGTTCTGAACAATTTCTGGCAGGTCTTGCACCGGTAGGCCACGCGATACTTGCGCCCACCCGGGTGCCCGGCGCTCATGTGCCTCACGCAGCTCTTCACCGACGGGTATAGCTGCTCGCAATAGTTGCACTGGTAGAGCCGTTTCACCACGCCGTCCAGGTGCACCAGCACGTTACCGATCGGCTCGGCGGCCAGCTCGTTCCCCTGGGCCAGGATGTCCTGCGCCGGTTGCGTCGCCGAGCTCGTGCTTTCAGGGACCTGCATCTCGTCCTCCTCATCCTCGCCGCCCTCGGCGTCTTCGCTCTCGTTCTCGGAGCCAATCGAGTCCACCACCTCAAACTCGTCGGCCAGCAGCAGCAGCTGCTGCTGCTGCTGCTGCTGCTGCTGCTGCTGCTGCTGCTGCTGCTGCTGCTGCTGCTGCTGCTGCTGCTGCTGCTGCTGCTGCTGCTGCTGCTGCTGCTGCTGCTGCTGCTGCTGCTGCTGCTGCTGCTGCTGCTGCTGCTGCTGCTGCTGCTGCTGCTGCTGCTGCTGCTGCTGCTGCTGCTGCTGCTGCTGCTGCTGCTGCTGCTGCTGCTGCTGCTGCTGTTGCTGTTGCTGCTGCTGCTGCTGCTGCTGCTGCTGCTGCTGCTGCTGCTCCTCCTCCTCCTCCTCCTGCTGTTGCTGCTGCTCCTCCTGCTGTTGCTGCTGCTCCTCCTGCTGTTGCTGCTGCTGCTGCTGCTCGGCCTCTACCTCGTCTTCATCCTCGCTGCCGCCGCTTCTGTACAGATAATCAAGCAAACTCTTATGTATGTTTTGACGACTATGCGTTTAAGCTACGTGCATGCGCAGCTGTCGCTCTAGCGAATAAAATAGAAACGTTACTTGGCAACTCCTTGACGGATAGATTCGATTCGTTATTTACGTCTGTTATACTCGTACGTGAACCTGATGATGACGTAGCATACTTTTACTACACCTTCTTCTAATAGCTGTTTGTAAGTTTTTCAATGCTGCTGTTTTCTGCAGTATCAAAGTTTGTTTTCAGCAATTATCAATCAATGCAGTGGCGTCCTGGTCAAACCAGTCAAGTCCATTTCTCTTGATTTCGCAATATTCAAATGCAAAATCCAAGCAAGTGCGTAAAATCGGTAAATTACTTTTGCTTAATGACATTAAACTAACTGTTGGACACGCTATTGAATGGTGCATTCAACTTTTTTTTAAAACTATGTTTAAGCTGATATTTGACAGTTAACAGTTAATTTATCTGCATATTCCAAGTCAACCGACTATATAGTTTGGTAGATTTTGGCTACATCAAAGTTTATTGGCGTATTCGACTGAGATATTTAACAAGAACATATACTAAATAAGATATAAATTAGCATGCGCTGGTATAATTATAACAATAATTTCATTATAACAGACATATTAAATTGTTTGCTTGAACTGCCTGGATTATATCTATATTAGTCATCTTGATTCCATAGATTTTAGTCTTTTATATCTCCTACACTTTCAAAAGAAATTAATATTATGAAATATTCACCTTATCATCAGCGAATGAAAACTGAGTCGAATTGACCGATCTTAACAAGCAGCATATTTACGAAATACGATTCCACCGATTAAACGTTGTAAATCTTGAAACTTTTCATTATATTTTGACTTAGCCTAGCTAGTTTCGCCGGAACGCCACTGAATTAATCTAGATATCTATATATTTTTTTGAAAAATTATTGCGAGAATTCGCCTTTAAATTTTTATTTTTCAATTGTATATTCATCAAAATGACTCATAAGCATCGCAGTATTTTAGATAATCAAATATATCATTTTATTGAGACGGTGGTGATGGCGGCGGGATGGGGAGAAGGGGATTCATAGGATAATAAAAATCTTAATTTTTTTGAAAAAAATGTTCATTTATTCGATAAAAAAATGTGACAAAAGCACAGCTACAATATATAGATCGTCTAAATGATAAAATTTCAAATTCTATAATAAGAAAAGAAAATAGAAATAAAACTACGCTGCTTCTTTTTCTCTTAAGCAGCTTTCCTCATACGCGCGCATTGCAATATTTGTAAAAAAGTATCTATAAAAAACAAGTTTATGTGAAAATGTACCACAAGTGTAAATTAATTTATATATTTATATCTTTAAAAATAGACAATGTACATAGCATGTATTTCAGTGCTTGGACAGTGCACTTACACACGATTAATCACAAACAGTGGCTTACCAGTTAAAAACTTTCATATAAAATTAGTGCAATAACTCTTTCCCACCTAATCTGCCTTAATTTTTATATTCTTTATAAAATAGCACTAGTATCATTACTACTCAAGTCAGTCTACTGTGACTTGCGGTATGATATATATATATATATATATATATATATATATTTATATTTATATTTATACACACATATATATACACCAAACACACACATAGTTAATACTTTTTTGTATACATAAATCTGTTTCATCAAATCCTGCAGCACGATAAGGCAGTGCTTGACATTTTTAACTTTGTAATTTACATTTGAAAAAACGCAGTTCATTGGATAACAAGTGAAGACATTCAGTACCGAATATCAATCGATAGGTGCACGAAGCAGTGAACAATTTACTAATCTTTTCTAATCTCTGCTGCACAATCATCACTTTAAAACTTAAGTATCATTATCAAGTACACTGATTTTACACACAAGTCTCATAGAGTATTACAAACACATGAAATACCTGTCTTAGGAACTAAGGCACAAAGTTGTTTTTTCCTATTTTATTGCTACTTATTTCATTGTATAACAATAACAACATGCTGTTATAAATTTGAACGCGATATGAAGTCATTTGGAAAGGACATCGTTACAACGGCAAAGTATTCTTGCAAATAAAATATGACAGGAAGAACAGAATATATTCAATTATTTAAGTGACAGCTACGCATTTGTGTCTCCTAGTCCTAGCACTAAAAAATCGAACTTTATGGACGGTTTAGCATTCTATACATGTAACTTATAACCTAGCTCACAATAATCATTACCTTTTTATTACTTGCATTTATTCATTGACTGCTGGTTTGTTCGCTAATCGATTTATTTATTCCTTTCAAATTTATTTCGTTCGTATTTATTTCGAATCGGAAATTTTTATTAATTCACATGTTATGTTGAAAGTAACGTAATGGGAAATATCTTGACTCACAGTTACATTTGAAAATTTAAATTCCGCCGTTTTTTAATACATTTATATCCTTGATTTGGATAAACTTTTGGAAATGTTGATTAAAAATTAATACATTTATAATAGATTATGTATAAGGCGCTCGCGATACCACGAGTGACGGTTAACAAGAATTCTTATTCATTATGATTGCAATGCCCGTATGAAATTCATATTTATTGTCAGATTGAGATACCTGAAGCTAAACTTGTACAATAATTATATCAAAGCATGAAATGATACTTGCTGGGTTACAATATGAATCTACATACATGGTTAGTATAACATAAAGCAGCACAGCTCTACAAATACTTAATACTGGAGCTGCGTGTGAGCGAAAAACCACCTGTTGTCACTATTAATCTAAACGCAAGTTTGTTTATAAAGATCAAGGTTGGAAAAAATGGAATCGACACTATTCGTCCTACGTAGGAGGCAAAGTGACCTCGGTAGTCTCTACCTCCTGCTGCTGGCTAACGATCTCGTGATGGTGAAGGTGCTGTTGCTGCTGCTGCCCAAATAAAGCCTGCTGCTCCTCCTCGGGAGACAGCAGTATTCTCTGCTGCTGCAAGTGCAGCTGAGTCTCCTGATCCTGCCGAGCCCTCGCATTCTGCTTGGCGTGGGTTTTGAGGTGCGAGTTAAGCATGGTCTTCGAGGCAAAACTCTTGGTACAGAAGGTGCAAGGGTACGGCCTATCACCGGTGTGGCTCCTAAGATGGACGACGAGGGTGGTTCGCTGTGTAAAGGACTTCTCGCAGTGAGTGCACTTGTGGGGCCTCTCGCCGGTGTGGGTTCTGCGATGTACGCTTAGGTAGTTTTGCGAGATGAAACCCTTACCGCAGAGGTCACACACATGGGGTTTCTCGCCGGTATGCTTGCGCACGTGGACCGTGAGGTAGGTCTTGCTGGAGACAGCCTTGCCGCAGATGTTGCAGACGAACTCGTTGAGCGGCGCACCCGTGTTACCGTGGGTTCGCATGTGCACCATCAGTACCTGGCGCCGGCAGAATCGCTTGTTGCAAACATCGCAGGCATGCTTCTTCTGTGGCGGCACGTAGTCCGGCTGGTGGAGCTTGGCGTGCAGACGCAGACCCTGCCGGTAGCGGAAGGTCGCCGGACACTTATCACACTGGAAGGGCTTTTCCTTCGAGTGTACCGCCAGCACGTGCTCCTGGTAGTTATTACGCGCATAAAAGCGTGCGCCGCACAGCTCACACTGGTACTTGTAGTTTTGACTGTGTCGGCGCTGGTGGCTACCCAAGTTTTGTCGATGCGGAGTACTGTACTCGCATATCTCGCACTGGTAGATCTTCTGCTGCTGAGCCGGCGGTGGCTGCTGTGGCGCGATGCTCGCGCTGCCGCAGCAGCTCACCTGGTGCTCCAGTAGAGAGGCTTCTTTGGCGAAGGTGACGCCGCACTGTTCGCAGGCGTAAATCATCAGCGAAGCAGTCGGAGACTGCTCTTCCTGCTCCACGGACTCGAGCTTCGGCTCAGTCGGGTGCACGGCCTTGAGGTGGTAGCCCAACAATACTTCGTCAACGAATGCTTGGTCGCATAGCGGACAGCAGTGCAGCATGTGGCTGTCCGTCGATACAACCATCAGGTGTTCACCGCCATTCGTCTGCTGCCCGTCACGTAGATGTGCTGCTGCTGTCGTGGTCGTGGCGATGAGAATCGTCGTCGAGGTCGAACTGTCAGCCGAGTAGACTTTGATCGTCGACTGTTCCGTCGACATCTCGTCCTCTTGCGCAGCAGTTACGTAGTATCTGCAAACAAAGACATAAGATTAGATCGATCAGGCTGAACTGTCGCGCGCTTTCTCTCAGTGAAAACCGACAAGCTCGCACCAAGCTTTAGGTTAAAAACAACACGGCACACGTGCATAGCTTTTATTTAGCTGTGATGGTTTTCGTTATCTTTTCTCAATAAACGCTTTACGATGGCACTAGATCGCCGGCACTGTCGTCGATTATTATCAGGTAACGAAAGACAAAGGCAGTCAAATGATATATATGTAGTTCAACATTATTCATTGGTTTTTGCATGCTCAAAAAATTCATCCATAAAGTAATATACTAATTCAACTGTGCATGTATTTCGTTCTTTTTTAACCTGCTCGTTTACTTCTTCAAATCATTTTTCACTGAGCTACTGGCCCGATGATATATCGTAAGGTTTCAAAGATGAAACTTAATTGAGACGCAACTTCACCATACTATTCAATTTAGTATGAACCTTATAATTTAGCATTGATGTACTTACAATCAAACGTAACGTCTCTTGATCGTTACCGAACAAGAGCACGTTCAATATTGTCCTGACCTACGTACGTACGTACCTATGTACATACATACATACATACATACATACATACATACATACATACATACATACATACATACATACATACATACATACATACATACATACATACATACATACTAACATACATACTAACATACATACATACATACATACATACATACATACATACATACATACATACATACATACATACATACATACATACATACATACATACATACATACATGCATGCATGCATGCATGCATACATACATACATACATACATACATGCATGCATACATACATACATACATACATACATACATGCATGCATACATACATACATACATACATGCATGCATGCATGCATACATACATGCATACATACATACATACATACATACATGCATACATACATGCATACATACATACATACATACATGCATGCATGCATACATACATACATACATGCATGCATGCATACATACATACATGCATGCATGCATACATACATGCATGCATACATGCATGCATACATACATACATACATACATACATACTTACATGAGTTAAGAGAAATAAATGAAGTTGAAAAATTATTGATACCTACCTTAGCTTGTGATTTCTACACTCCATTACATAGCGATACTTGCGCAAATAGAAAAAAATGGTTATATACTTTTAAATATCAAGTCATCTAACATGTCATGTAAACGACAATGAGAATTTTTTTCGGGATACTACAATAATTTCTCAAAATGTATTGATTGTATAGCAAACGCGTATACATCAATGAAAATATTTGAGATAAAAGAAACAAAATAAAGCAGTTATCGAACAGCAATCGTTTAAAAATCTTATTGATTAAGGATTGAAATGTAATTAGCTTGTTTACATAACTTGACTTTTATTATTGTTATATAACTCTTTCTAATACATATTGATTACAACAAAGTAACTCTACCTGATAAATCATTAATAATAGTGATTTGAATTAATAGTTTAGTTGAAAAAAGGAAAAGGATGTAATGTATTAAAAAATTATTTATATTTAGAATTTAATCGACGAGCTACGTCTAAACAATTTTTCAAGTATTTTAAAAAGAAAATCGAATAAAATTGAAACATATTACCTATAAAGTGTTCCTAATCAGGTCTTGATAATTCCAACTTGAATAAAAACATTTACAATTGAAATTAGTATGTTTTCACTACATTTGCTATCAAATGTATTTTATAATCTATATATAATAAAGATTGATTTTATATCAGTGTTGTTATGGTTAAGATTAAACAGTAATAATAATAATAATAATAATAATAATAATAATAATAATAATAATAATAATAATAATAATATATAAACGTTTAAGCGTATTTCCTTGTTTATTTTGACTAGTTATGCAAGGACTTTGCCGTATTTATCAGCTACTTATAAAATTACTAATTCTATTGAAAATCAAGTTTAATCTGATACTCTGGTCAACTCTCTAAATCCTGCTATCACTCAAGACTTGAATATTTGGCTAAACTCATTGAATACCCAACAATTACCTACATCCACAATTAAAACTCCGTCGAAGCTTAATGGCACTTTGTTTATTGCATTTGAAAATTCAGTTTCCTATGATTTGATTCAAAGGCACTTGCAGGTTTACACACTAATTTCTGGCTGATCGAAACTTCATCGAAATTGATTTTTGGTTATGTCTATCGAACTCGGTCGGTTAATTCGTAATTTGTAATAGTCTCTAAAACTAATAGCATATATATACAAGTACAAAGTATTTATCACAGTGATTATATTTGATAAGGTGTTTAACATTGAATTACCAATACCGAGTATCCAGATATGAGGTTACGCGATACAGCAAAAACATAAATACTAATTTGGTCATTTGTCATAGCTTCTATCTATCGGTAATTTGGCTGATAATCGAATACTCCTGACTAAGCAATAGAAAGGGGAAAAGAAAAAGGAGAAGAAGAAAGAAGAGGAGAGAAAAAGGAGAGGAGGGCGTATTTACAGAGAGGACTCTTAATGTTTCTTCATGTGATTGAGCATAATGGTGCGCGTGACGAAACCCTTGCCGCAGAGGGTACAAGTGTAGGGCCGCTCGCCGGTGTGATATCTACGGTGTACGGTGAGGGTTGACGCCTGGGTAAAGGATTTGCCGCACATGGCACACAGATAGGGTCTTTCGCCGGTGTGTATGCGCTGGTGAACGACATAGTACTTGCGGTGAGTGAAGCCTTTGCCGCAGACGTCACAGATGAGCGGCCGTGATCTATGCACCGCCTTATGCGATGCCAGCGACTCGGGCGTGGGGAACTCTTTGGCGCAGGTCTCGCAGGGGTAAGCGACGGCATTATTGGACTTGCTACCGCTATATAGCAAGGCCTCGTCCTTGGCCGTTGGTGCGCTGCTCGCGCCGCCGCTGACACTGCTAGTCGTACTCGCGCGTTCGGGCTTGTGTGTCTTAGCGTGATGGTTGTAGAGGTTTCGCGTCTCGAAGCGCATCAGGCAGCGGGGACACGAGTAAGGTTTATCTTGGCCGGCGGCGGCCTCATGCATCTTGCGATGCTTCTCCAATAGAGTGCGATATCGGAAAGTTGCTTGGCAACGCTCGCAAGAAAAACTGTTGTCTTGCTTGTGCTGGTGCTGGTGCTGGTGCTGCTGTTGCTGCTGCTGCTGCTGCTGTTGCTGCTGCTGTTGCTGCTGTTGTTGCTGCTGTTGCTGCTGTTGCTGCTGCTGCTGTTGCTGCTGCTGCTGTTGCTGCTGTTGTTGCTGCTGTTGTTGCTGCTGCTGTTGTTGCTGCTGCTGCTGCTGCTGCTGCTGCTGCTGCTGCTGCTGCTGATGATGATGATGATGATGATGATGATGGTGCTGTTGTTGCTGGGGCTGAACCGACGACGATGGTGGAGCTTGATAGGTTGCTTGCCCGGCCATGGACGATTGAGGCGGTGGCAGCTCCTCGATTTGCAGACGTATGTGGCTCTGAGCGAGGAAGGTACGCGAGCACGCGTGGCAGGTGAATCGCATCAACAAAGCTTCCGCGTTGATCTCACCGGTGCGCACGTGATAAGTCAACTTGGTACCACAGTGCGGACACGAGTGAGTCTCCGTGAGTAGCTGCACGTGGTCTTGGTACACTACCTGCTGTTGCTGCAGCTGTTCCTGCATAGTTACCAGCTGGTGATGACTCAAAGCTGATGGCTGCATCTGAAGACCCGACGTGAGTACCGTGGTACTGTATTGCTGATGATGGTGGTGCAGGAAATTTAATTCATCGCTTTCCGATGACGGTGAGAGAATCTGTCGGAGCATGCCTGACAAACCGCCGAAGGTCTCGTCTCTGCAATTAAAGGAAACCCACGTTCCTCAAACTTACTACTCAGATAGTACGATGCGTGAGATAATTTCACCTGTGGAATATTTGTTTGGTGCGTAAAATTGAGCAAGCGTTGCCAGTGCTGCTTCTAGGACACTGCGATCTTTTTAGCACCAAGATAAACGTTTTTGTACAATTTTTCCATCAATTATCAAGCTGTTTTGCTCCATTACTAATAGTTTTGTTTAACTTGAACCACTCGACCAAATGCCCAAACAATCCAATAATTTAACCAACATTTTTTTGAAGAGATCATTTAAAAATGCGTATTCATACGTCGTTAATAGAACTGGAACGTTCTCAGTGCACAAAAAATCATTCGGTTCAAAATTAAAAAGGAAGGAACCAATGTTTCTCATGTGCTCTTATCGTGCAATTAAAATTATTATTATTACTATTTTTCAAAAGACGTCATTGGTGACCATACGGTAGAACGAGAAAATATTAATACTAAAATTATGATCACGAGACAAATAGCAGGTGGTGTTATTTCAACGTATTGCAATTAACTTTCATACGCATACATTTTACATTGATATATAATGATAGCATTGCTTTTGTGTGCCTGCATGGTGCAAAGTGCTATAGTTTGCTTCTCACAAATGAGTGATCGCTATCTATTCTTTCGGTGGAATCCGTATAAATAAAAAAGTTTAATTCAAACTTCTAGAATCATCGACGACAAGTTGACACGGTAGCAATATTTGTTATTATTGAGGAACAAACAATAACGATTGTAAAAAAATGTCCAAAGGTATTTAAACAGAAATTTTTGTCGAATACAAGGAAAAAATTATAAGCAATTATCATACACTTTTCTTAATTTAAAAGAAATATAAAGATTAATTCTCACCTCTTTCTTATTACAAGACAATTATCTTTACTCATGATAGTAAATGTCTGCCCCTGCTGCCCATCTTCTCCAAAATCATTTTCCATATTAATCTGAGAATGAGGTCACACAGCACTCGCGGTATTCTTCGAGACGTCAAAACAATATTGTCAACAAAAGCTCGCCGAGAAGCTCTTAACGTCTATAAAGTATGAAAAAAGCCGAGCTCTGTTAAACAAACGCACGACAATGCTTCGAAAGTGAAAACCAGACATCCAAGCAAAATCGCTCAAAGTCATCACTTTTCGAAGCAACAAAGGCACGTAATTCAACAAGGTATTATTGTAACAAAAAAAATATTATTTAAATACCCGGGACCCAAATTAAAAGGATTTTAAGTACAACTTAAAACTACAGAAATAAAAAAAGATACTCGCCTTTTGAAAGCAACGGTCGATCCTATATGGTCAGGCAGCCCCGAAAATCTTGTTTATCCTCTTGAAAATCCAGATTCAACTTCTCATTTAGGTTCACACTTTTTGTTTCGGACACACAATAATTGCGACATAATACGCGCGACGATTTCGCTCGAACCAAGTTCACAGGAATTCGTTTGTCATAGTCAACTTTTTTACGAATTCGAGTCTTTCTGTCATTTAAAGACATTCATCTATGTAGACACTTTCCCGTTGTCGTGTTCTCTACTTCGCGCCCTTTGCATGTGACAACGTCAAAAAAACGAAATTTGAATCGTTTGGCACTTAACGGAGGCCATGTTGTGACCGACATCAAATTCGTATCGCGTTTATTACAACTTACATATTACAGTGACTTTCACAGATAAACCTATCGATCGTCAGTGATGTCTTCTGACCGATTTCGGTCAAGTGCGGCATTAGTGCCTTTACGTAAGCGTGGGAATGTTATATCGACAACATGTAAACATTATCCTTAATGGAACAGAGAGATTTCAAATTTCATGTCAAAGTATTAATTAACCAATTACCATTCTTTATCATTTCAAAGTCACCCAAGTCTTTCATAAATCTCTCTATTCTGGTGTACATGTAATATCTACTGCAGTTTACATTTCAATGAGCTTATTTGTCAAGTTTTCGAGATCACAATATAAATTGTTGTAAATGAAATGTGAAAGACATTTGTCATTGAAATGTAAACTCTATACATGCTACTTTATGTGTGTACGTAAAAACTTACTGTATCCGGTAATTTGGAAAAGCAAAGATTTAAATAATTATTCATTTCAATGTCTCAAGACTAGATGAAGGCCAAATTACAGAATACTTAAGAGTCAAAAATGGTTGTGACTTCAGTGTGAGCACTTACCTTGTGCAAATTGCACGATACCAAAAAATTGACATTCAAATTTAACAAACTTGAATTGAAAATAAATTGTTAGAATTCATATCACAATTTAAATAGAGAAAATGTATGATATTTCTAAATTCGTGGTGTATTAATTGTTTGCGTATTGCCACAACGAAACATTTTTGACTCTTTTTTTGAAAAACTTAAGTTAGACACTTACCCAGTTTTGTGATCGCCATCAGCAGTCTGTTGAATTGTAATTTCAGACATTTCTGAAATTTTTTGTTGTTGTAGACCAGATGGACCAGCCTCATCACAGGGCAAGGATACATATGATTGTTCTAGAGACCTATCACCTTCATCAGTTTCCTCTTTGACAGGTAGGCCTAAAATTACATGGTTTTATTATCAATCAGTTTAGTTATAACTTGATGGTTGTGCAGTTTGAACTGCCACTTACCATCATCGTTATCACATCCATCATCCATATTATCTTCATCCTCCTGATCCACTTCAACTTCTTGCAAGTGTGCAACTCCTGTTTGATCATGTGCTGTCTGTGTGCTTGGACCCGGGACTTGGACAGTTTGTACAGTGCCCCGTGTGCCCATAGGAACTGTAGTAAATTGTTGATCACTTCCAGCAGGCATGGTGATAATAGACATGTTCTCAATCATGTTAATATCCATATTTTGGTGCCCACTCACTTGCATTACACTATTGTCTAATCTACTATCACTATTCCCCTCCTGCTTCATCACATTCTACAAATGAAAGAAAAAATAATACAATAAAAATTATCTTAAAAATGCATATTTTGACCAAGTGCTATATCTATCAAATATAAAATCTCATAGCTAGATAAAAGTGTTGACGATACTCTTCAGCTAAGAAATTTTATGTAACTTTATGTAACTTATGTAAGTTGTAGAATATAAAAGTACTTACTGGGTCAAGGACCTCTGTTACATAACCTTGTTGCTTGTCATCCAGGCCGTCATCTTCGCCAAGCCATTGTAGAAGCTGTTTCTCGGCATTGGCTGTTGTATTCCAAAATTGATAAAATAATTCTAGTTTGTACGAACAGTCACTGCATATTTTTCTAGGTAGTTTGTCATCCCTGGACACCTGCAATATAAGTACAAAAACATACATATATAATCTTTAAATCACAGAAACCACTTTTCAATTATTTCTTATAAAGTAATTTTTCCAAGACAAGGCCGACTTCAATATCATCTTTCTGCAATTTTTAGCAGTTATGTTTTGATCGAGTCAGTGAGGAAATGGGACTATCTCGCTAACATACCCTTACCAATAAGTCTCCCGACCCCTCCATTGAAATTGGTGTATCCGTTCCAGAGATATGTCCAAACATACATAAAGAAAAAAAAAAAAAGAAATAGTCATATCGAACGAAATTCGATTACACCTTGAACTTTGGAAAAGTTCACGCTCACCATATGTCAGAATTCTTTTTATGGTAAATCTTTGACGCTTACTTTTATACCACAGAGCTGTATGTTGAAAATCTTAATATTTATAGAGATTTTATTTCTTGCATCAGTGAAATTAACGATAAAAGAAAATTGTATAACGGCAAAGAAAACGTCTTTTGAATATGCGTTCTCGATAGTTTTGTAAAAATCACTAACTTTTTCATTTGTGATATCATAATTGTAAATGCTTACAATTATTACAGAACGACTAAATAAATAGTCCGAAACGTTAACAAATAAATTCTTTACATGATCCAATTGAATGACGTATGGTTAATTCAATACTTTCTAAAAATTATACATATTTTCTCTTATAATTCCTCTTATAATCTTCTTATTTCTCTTATTATAAAAATAAAATAAAAAAAGAATAAAAAAGAGAACCCGACAAAGCCAGTTTATTAGTGATCTGTGATAGGCTGAAATTTAGTCACGTGATCAGTTGTTATGTAATAGTATATGTTGTGTATGCTTATAAAAAATTACTGCAAATTTTCGTAAACGATTAACTGTTCGAAAAGTTTATCCGTATAATTAGCATGAATTTGATACGAATTGATGGGTTTAATCATACTAACCTCAAAATAATAACTAACTAATATCTTGATTGCGAAATCAATTGAACTTTGCTTTATGTGAAATAAACAAAGTAGTCAATAAAAGATATAAATCGATAGATTATCACGATAAAATATTGTACAGTGATTTCGGCTTTACTAAGTTACGTAAAATGTTAGAAAATTGTTTTAATAAAGCGCTAATTACAATCTTGAACGTTCTATACCAAAATATGTTATTTACATCGTGAGGGATATTATTATAGAAAATAATAATGTTTTAAGAATTTATAATACATTTTTCATAGTGTTTTTCGAACTTTTGAATGATTATTTTTCAACATAAAACTTGAGATGATAAAAACTTCAAAAATTCATCGATAATTTTTTTAGATCGTGATAATATCATCATAACTGTATATTTATTTATCAGTAAGTAATATTGTCGGTTCGTATCAAATCAATGGAATGTTTAATATATATTGAATTTCGAATTTTTAATTTCGCCAATAAAAGTTTTGATTTATTGTCGTGCATTAAAATGAATGCAAAAAAAGACGAAAAAGATGAGCACGCTAAAAATCATTAATATATCTTAAATGTTTACAAGTGACGATATTTCAATAATTCAGTGAAACATCGAAATATTTATTTAGAAATGAAACAAATAATAAGAAATAAATATAATTTTGTTGAAGCAGTGGTCAATGAACTGTACAAATTTTGTAATTTTTCCGTAGAGTAAACTTTTCCCAGCCTTGCGGATCCGTACATAATAGATGAGAAAGCCCCAAGCCCCGACGACCCCGACGCGCAACGCAAAATGGTGGCGGCGTCGCTCGCTCGCTTTCTCTCTCTCTCTCTCTCTCTCTCGCTCGCTCATCCAGACAAGAGTAAGTGCACATACGCATACATGTACACACATAAGCAGCAAATTGTTAAGAATCGATTTTCCAGTAACGACGAAATCAACGCATTCTCTTTTCGTTTTAAATAATTTTGCATTCTAATTAGAGAATAAATAACACATGTGCCGCCGGTTGTCGCAGTTTTGTTTTTACGCTCGGCCGATTACCTGTCATCTACACATAGAAAACAATAACATCGATTGTCAGTATTGTCGACGGATCCTTCGCTCATTTTCCTTTCCCATCAACTCTGTTGCATGCTCACAAAACGGACTTTTTTACTTTCATGGTTGGTGTATACGCTATACGTTAACTAAGCCATTTATGGGGATGTTACAGTTCTGATATGCTGATCATTAAATACGTCGAAGGACAGTTACTATTTTTGAGAAATAATGATACAAAATTATTTATCCTTACGAAGATATTCAGTCATTCGTAAAGTTGTTTAACTTGTAAAAGTTACAGCATCCAAGTTCAAAGTAGAACCGCGTTTATGTAAAGGTACGTGCCAACGTTCTCATTAAATGCAGACCGGCCTTAATTTACTTTATCTACTCTCCGTTGTTTTACCGTCTCCCCACCCATTAAACAATCAAGCGCACGCATAATAAAAAATAAAAGGTACATCACAAAACGCAAAAGCAAAATTCTATTAAAACGTAGTTAATGTAAAATGAACTGTAACAAACAGTCGCGTTGGGATATACAAAAGAGCGAGAACGAGTGACAAAGATGGCGGAAGCTCCGAGAGAGAGAGAGAGAGAGAGAGAGAGAGAGAGAGAAAGATATATATATATATATATATATATATATATGAAACTTACTTTGACCGGCAGGCAAGCGTGGATTTTGAGAAAAATTTGATTAACGTCACCATCGTCCTCGAAAATGGGCACTTGCACGCGATCTTTTACCAGGCATAATCTGCACAGTTCGAGATAGTCCAACGGGGACGACATCGTATCTCTGTTATATTAACGCTGCGTAAAGCAGCCCCGCCTCGCGTTGTGCCACCGCCACTACAGGTCGTTCGATGAGCTCTGCTGCTCGCGGCCACTCGCGGTTCGTCCCGCGACCGCTTGCTTTACCGACCAACGCCACTGGCTACAACGACATCTAACTCAGCGCTACTTCCGTCTCGGCTCTCGCTCTCTCGCTCGTTTCGAGTTTAAACAGTTGGGTTTTAGAAGTAAGCGATATCTCGCAGCTAGTGCACAACTCTCGATATTAACTGGTCAGTTACCAATATTAGAGGTTAGGATTTTGACCGTCTGTAACAAAGTCGAACGATATATCGAATACGTCAATGAGCCTGATGAAATAAGATAAAGAATAATGAATGTTTATTCCTTATTCTGCATTGAAAAGTATATGAGCAAATCCCCAAAATTAACAAAATTTACAATTGAAAAAAGAAAAAAATTGTTTAACTCGCAGTTTTGAAAATGGTCCTGAATAATAATAGAAAATATAGGCTTATGACTTCTTAAAAACCTTATTTTACAAACTGTATATTTAACGAAATATATAAAAATTTTAAGTAAAATTATTTTAATAACTTTTTTAATATCTAAAATTATTAGATATTAAAAAAAATGTGTTATAATTTTCAGTAGCAATTATACCATTTATTTGTTAATAAATTTCATCACTAATAACATAATAATTCACAACAAATGAAGTTGAATTCATAATATAAGTTGAAAAATCATAATTAAAACAACAATAACGAAATTTGAAAATATTTAACTAGCTATTTTTTTCACAGATTTTTTCTTTGGCTTTATTATCGGTTTCGCTTTAGAATTGACTAGATTCCATTTCATATTAGTTTGAGCGGGAAATGATTACATAGAAGTTTGGTGAAACAGAGATTGCAAAAGAACTAATTGAAGAATAGTACATTTTTATTTTTATAATTGCGCTTTACTATTTAAAGTAATAAATATTATGTAATTTAAGCATGTATAGTTATATATAGTATCAGTGGCAAAGTTTGCTCATATTCCTTTTCTCAATTTCTATGTCTTTGGCGTTGCCACGTTTTCTTATTTCTATCCTATCCCGTTACATTCTCCTGATATATATAAAAGTAATGGCCTGCCAATGTCAAGGCATTTTATTCGTGATCTGATTGGTGGAAAAGTAGTGACGTAGGTTCCATTATTAAGCAGTATGGATGTGTATGTACGTGTATTGGAATTATTATTTATTTATTTTCTTATAATAATAATAATAATAATAATAATATATAATATATAATAATAATAACCTTATAAAAGAGTGATGGAAGTCATGTTGAAGTATTTTATTCGTTACCTGATTGGTCCAAATGAAAAAAAAGCGCGAGAATTTAAATTGATTTTTGTTGATTTTTTTATTTTAGTACTAATTTCATTTATTTTTAGTACTAAAATAAAACATAAAAAATACCATCTTTAATCGATCATTCAAGATCGTAATGTTATTCATTGTTTCCCAGCTTTCTCCGCTTATGAAAAAGTGATGGTTGCGCTAGGTTGAAGCATTTTATTCATGATCTGATTAACTGAGATATAGTCATGTGATATACATACTCATGCGGCCCGTCTGAAAATTAAAATGCAATTTATTAGGTCAGAACTTGAGTAAAAAATTATAAAAGAAGTAACACTAGAACTTCTTCAAGTACTTGCATAAGTTTTTGTGGTTGATTTTTTATTTATGAAATTGCCGTTTAGGCTAAGTCATTAGGTAAGAATTTACGTAAGAAATTGAGTAAGAATTTTTAGACAATTTAAATTGATATTTTTCATTCTTCAAATCTGGTTCAACACATTCAAACTAAGTATTTTATACAAGTACGTACGATACTCACGCTGGAATTAATTTCCATGCACTCACGAAAAACTAAGATATACAGATCTGCATGATTCTGTTCTTGGCCAACTGAGGGTCACTTTCAGTCATTTTTGGCGTAGAATTTGAATCCGAAGTTATTTGATGAAAATCAAGTAGTTCAGAAGTCTCGAAACAGCTAATATATATAGCATATGCGAAAATACTTGCTTTCAAATAGTGATGTCTCGATGAAAGAAAAAAAATATCTGAAATCTTAAAAATGGATTTTGAAAAGTAAAAACAGACCTTTTAGATGGTTTTTCCCATTTTTGAAAAAAAAATATTTTGCGATGTTACGGAATCTCACATATAGCAAAAAATGGCCTTTTTCACTTCTTTAGGTTAGCATATCTAAGAATCCTGACGTGATAGACAAATTCTGACTTCGGATTGGAATTATACGAAAACAATTACTTTGGAAATGACTCTCAGTTGGCCAAAACCAATTACAACCCTTTATATTTTGCAGATCTATGATATTTTATTACAGTTTTCAATAGGATAAATCATGAATTTGAAAATGTTTTTTATCACTAATACACATTTTTCCGCTGTGTCTTTTATAAAAAAATTTTGAAAAAATTAATTTATTTTAAATTTGTTAATTAATAGAACAATAAGAGATGAAAAAGAAAATAAGAGCGCGAAAGCGCATCTAACCCTGTATATTTTTATTTTTCCTATATAAAATAGTAATGGCTTGTCAAGTGAAGTTATTTTATTTGTGATTTACTGAATGTTGTTACGTGGATCAATGTTATAAGTAAATCAGCATTAAATAATAGATCAAGACATTTTCAATCTATTGATATTCTATTAATTCAAATAAATATAATAATTTGTTCTTTCAACGGCTTACCCATAAAATAATACATTAAGGTATTCTTAAAGCATTTCAAATACATTTATTTATAGCATATATAAATTTAATGAATACTTTATTGTATAAAGTTTAGCTTCGAATAAATATCATCAACAATGAAGAAAATTATAAATCGAGATTTCTTATGAAATTCTGTGAATTGATTTCAGTGCATTCGGCGCCGTTAATTTATTTTGAAAAAAATTGGAATTTATATATTCATTGGTTGCTCAGATATTTCAATCAGTTAACAAGAGGTGACTAAAGTACGGAGTCTTAACTTTCTTTTGGCCGAAAGTATTGAATTGCAAGACTGCGATTTGAAAATCAAGCTGCCCTCCCCGGTCTAGACCGATCGACCTATTTCTTCATGTGTTTTGTTTATTACTAAATTCAATAACCAATAATTTGAAAATCGACAATGTGAATACTAATAAACTTGCGAAAACAAAGGAGTGTCGCTAGAATAACATGAAAATGATGAATGTATTTAGAGAAGAGTTTTTCTAAATATATTTATTACATTCGAAAATTGATTTCATCTTTCGACTTAGCATCAAAACTAATAAAAATGAAAAAGTGCAAAAACTGTTAAAAATAAAATTGCTTATGTGTTTCTTGAAACACACATAAATCATTGGCGTAAACGGTGTAAATTGGTGGAGGTAACTTGTAAACTAAAAAACCATTAAGCATATGCATCTAGAAAGGAAAAAGTATTTTTCATATAATCTACGGAAAGTGACAACTAAGTGGGTGAAGCCGAGGGTGGCAAATATGAGGTTTAGATATTGAATTTTTTGTGTCAGAGTAATCGGAAAATTAAAACTGCCCTTTGTTGACATGGAATATGATTATTTTTCTGTATATCTGTATTTGAATATATCTATAAAAATGGAATTTTCGAGATGATACGTACATATAAACAAACAAAAACGCACACATACGCGCGCGTGCTACGATAATCTTATTACAACATAACTCTTAAAGAAGTTTATAGTGGTATGTTCAAAGGTAGTCTTCTAAAAACTAATCGAATAAATCAACATATAGCATTTCAGAAATGCAATTAATAAAAAAACTCAGCATAGTTTTTTAAAAAAACTGCTTTATTGTGGCAGAACACATGTATTATCATGTACCAGCATATAATTAGGAAGTCCATTAAGTAATTTACAAATTATGATCCAATTAGTAATTATTTTATAGATGGCGCTCTTGTTCATTCGCAATGAATTTTACAATTTTCAATTTTATTATCTGTCATAGCCCCATTCTCTATCTCAGCGTTTTACATACAAATTGCTTCCTCTAATCTTTTCTGTAGTAAACTTGTAATGTTTTAATTTCACGTTTTTCAGAGTGTTCAGGTAACATTGAAATTTTGCTTAATAAACGCGAGCAACTCAATCAGACCACACTAAGTGCAATTCGTTTCCTTCATTGGCAAAGAAGTTTACCCTGCGATTCGATAGTCTATTGTACTTCTGGGTGTTGATAATTATTTACTTCAAAGCTCCCCCCCCCTCTCTTTCTCTCGTCTTTTTTCTTATATTTTGCTTGATGGGATGATGGGATATGTGCTATTATAGGATTGATTTATTACTTTTTCGGTCTTTCTTGCTGGTGTATTTTGCTTACACACCCTCATTACTTAACTCTTTTAATACAATCAGAGACCATTAAATTTAATGTGTACATTATCTTCATAGAAATTTTAACGATAACTTTGCTACGTCGAGCTCCTCGAAATACAAATAAAATTTAAGCCATGCATAGTCGATACTAGTTTAAAGACTAACACATGTATTCAGTGCGAGTTTGGCTGCTTAAATTGTTGCGCAATTATTTTTTCTGCTTATTGAACTATAATTGATATTGTTGTCAAATCTTTTTGAGTAGTCTAGTTGCAATTTGTTATAAAAAATGTCATACTTTAATTTTGCGCAATGCCTAAAATAAAAAAAAAAGTGTTCTAAATAAATCAACATTAGGATAGAAAGTGACTCGATCATTCACATTTCATTAATATACAACAATTTTTTTTTGAGATGTTAGTTAACAAAATCATTGTTCATGTACATCTCCATATAGAGGTTAAAATACTAAACTAGCATTGTTACAAGAAACCTAACAATCATTGCTCGTTAACAATAGTAAACACTTTACTGGTGCGTATAACAAGAAGAATGTGAAGATTCGTTGTAATTTGTTGAAAAATTGAACTGGATTACGCAGCTTGTCTATTTTTGTTGTAGTTTAAAAAAACATGAACGAACACTGCTAAAAGATGAGGGATGAGTCTTCTACTGTCATATGAAATTGAAACCAACTCGTACAACGAACTAAGAATCACGGTGATATTATGTGGATTGGCATCGTGACTATGAGCAATGTAGATATCTTTTTATTGTACAGTTAGCTGGCTAACTAGACAACAGTACATCGATTGTTGTCGACTGATTGTATACCAATGAAGGCATTTTTTTTCTACGACAGGAGAATACTTATCAAGATTAACAAATAGATGGAGTTTTCTCATTTTTATATTATCAAGTTCGCATTATATCAAATCAGCGAGACACGCTTATATAAAAATCTGACGTTTTCATGTGGGTTAATGCCCTATATTTCGCAATGAGTTCATAAAGAATACATCAACTGAAACTTTTATTTTGTTTTTGTCTTCCAAAGGTAGCATTTGATTTGGGCAAATTATAAAATAATCTACACTTTTAAATACGTAATACCATGGAACATTGTGAGCGTTGTTAGCTATATTGTGCACGTGATATCATTGAAATACTGGACAAGCAAAAAAGTCAGGGTCAATTTGAACCTAATGAAGATAATGTAGCGATGTGTTTTATGCCTTATACAAATTCAAAATTTAGTATGCAAGTATAAATTGCAACATGGACTATTACAAAATTATTAATTAGTGAATTCGAAAGCGGAGACTGAAAACAACGTTCTCTGGGCTTTCACCATTTTTACACGTTTTATAAAAGTCGTAATCGATACGGTTCAAGAGTGCTTTTCTTAGAAAATTAAAAATTTCCCTCCTGGCAGAATAATTTTTGGAATGTGGATAGAAAGTGAAAGTAGATATGTGTATATCAAACTAAACAACATAAGTTTACTATCTTATTGAAATGTATTTTACGAATCTTCAAATAAATTTACTGAGATAATTCAACAAATTGGACATTATTGAATAATCTAGAACAGTTTCGGAAATTCAATAATAAAATTGTATTTCATAAAAATTCCTCAATATAATGAAAAAATAGTATTTTACTTCTAACAATATCAATTTTTAAGTAATTTGTATAAAAATTGTTCACCCAAAAGGAGCACTAGAAATTTTGCCAAAATCTTTTTCTCGCGTACAATTCGTAGCAATTATCAATCACGGTTGAATAAAAAAATTATGGTAACCCACAGATAGATAATCTTCAGTCTTGATACAATGCTCTTTTGATTTTTCAATTCCTTCAAATTTTTTATATTTTTCGAGAAATTTACAATAAATGAAGGTGATTTTGTTTGTATGTACTGTTGATGTAAGCAGCTGTCTGCATTATAACTAACATTGGAGTGGTTCAAGATAACATTTACTGACTCAATGTAAGTATTGACACAAATGTTATCGAAAAACCATTGAATAATTACAATAGCAAAAAATTTTTAAGGGTTCGCGTACCGCGTAGAACTGAATACTATTCCTCCCGTATTTTTGTCCATCAATATCTTTCTTACAAATGTATCGTATAATAGTTATATTCTGTTCAAAAAAATTGTGTACATAAGTTAGACAAATGTACAACTTATAAAGAATCTCTCACATAAAATTCAATGTATTCAATCACATTTAGTTTCAAAAAAATGTTTCTATCTTATGTGGCTCCATTGATAGAGTTTTACTACTTGAAAAGTTTCGCTGTACAACAAAATAATCGATGTCTGATCCAAGAGTTGTCGCAACTTAAATATATCATACTCGTATATTACCACCTGCGATCAAGAGAAAGAGAGACAAAATGAGCCAGAGAGGGAGGGAGAGGCGAGAGAGAGAGAGAGAGAGAGAGAGAGAGAGAGAGAGCGGGGGTGGGGAGAGATCTTGTAGCGCTCAAAATGTTTAATTCTTTTATTATTATTTATTGTTGAAGAATTCTTTGCTTTTGCTTATTTACTAAGATAATACACCATTGGTGCCTACACCTTCCCAACGCTTCAGCAGCTGAAAACCTGTTATTTATAATTCGCATCTTATATATTTATTATAGAGAATGAGCGTAGTCACAATTTGACACTTTATAGCCGTAGTTTATTACACTTTTTCATTCAAGTTTCTGGCCTGAGCCTCTTTCTCGATATCAATTATTCTCCCAGCAAATAACCCAAACTCATAGTACAATTGTCGCAATACTGGCTAATTAATAATTTCTTAGTACATTGGATATTAAACTTTGACTATAATTACATAACCAAAGCAGCTAATATCAAGACTCTTGATAGGATTGATTATCACATTCGAATATAAGATTTTTTGAAAAGATATATGAAAGGGCAAAAGGTTAGCGAATTACCGTTGCCCTGGCAGTATCAGTTTTCATTGTTTTTATTCCGAATTTTATTTATTTATTCACGAAAATAATCGTGAGCATCGACTTATACCGAATATGATCGTAGAATACTTACGTAGCATCGAGCAATAATTGCAAATGATAAATATGACCATATATCAAGTGAGGTATGCTCATGAAGAATGGCTCTGGCTGAGGTCAGAAAGATCTCTTAAAAAATAATATAGTATGGATGAAGCGTTAAAATAAATATACAATAGCTGTAGAAATGAGTGAGCGTTTATTGGTTTTGTGTGAGCCTGTTAAAGAGAAATTTGGTGAAAGTCGCAGCGACAAAACAAGATGCCGAAATGAATTTGTATACACAAAAAGAAACGCTTTATAAAAATCAGAGTGCATCACGGTAAAATTGGGACACTATGATTGCATCACGATATTTAAGCAATATTGCATAAAAATTATAAATTTTCTTATAATGTTTCTCATAGTCTAAATAAAATTTACAGAACCGTCGTGGTTAAAGCTCCCCTACTCTCCAAACTCGGCCCTCACGATGGATAAAATAGATCTGGTTCAAAGTATTGTTATGTTGAGGGTTATAAAAATGTTGAACCAATTCGAAAACTTTTTGATTTGCACATACAAAAGAATTTTAATTTATTAGATATTTTTCCATTATCGATTGTTCAATTAATTAATTAAATTTTTTACTTTGCCCTCAATTAAGGAACGTACAGCAATAACGAATGTTTTTCACTATGCGCGAATTGCACAGCCGCATCGCCACTGTTTTCCCTATGTGGAGTTTTGCGGTGTACTATCAGTACAAATTACTATGATAAAACCGTAAAATGTAACGTGAATAATGTAGAAATTGATCAAAATCGCCGGAAAAGTTCTATACATTTATTACAAATATTATCCTTCAAAAAAATTACAGTGCGTTGTTGTTGAACTATTTTTATACTTATTCATAATAATGCGGACAATTTCATCAAAAAAAAATTCTTGAACTGCTATCACGTCCCAACTTTACCGTGAAAATCACGGTTATTTTTACGCGATATTTCTTTTAGTATATAATTAACCTTACAATTGTAATCTTTGGTTGAATCTTTGTTTGGCACGAAAGAAGCTATATTTTGCTTGATTATATCGCATTTCAATGAGATATCACATCGCAATGATGCTCCTGCGTGAAACATCACGCGCACACGCTGTGTCACACTGCACACAAGTACAAGTGACGATCTTGGCTGTTTACAGTTATATTTAACTATGAGACATAGACAGACGCAAATAGTTACAGGTTAGGTGGGCTTTGTGGTGATGATCTTGCTTGTAATATCGAGCGTAATTTTTCAATTGGTTGGCTTACACACCCACGCGCGCGTGCGCACGCACACGCACACAATTACTCTTGGCAAATGTTGCTTGGATTTACTAATTGTTCGGAGAGGAGCACGGTTATCTGAAGATCGGAATGTTAGCTTCATGTACTTTTTTGCGCGCGTACCATTACATGCTTACACTCGTTGAATCTCTGTAGTGTCAGCTCTAGTGTGAGAGTACCGTGCTCGAGCTAATTTTTTACATCTATTATTTTCTCAGAAGAAGAAAAGGAATGCTTTGAATAAGATATATCCGTTTGAATTTGTTATCGATATATTTAACTTACTTTTTTCTACGAAAGAACGAACAAGACTAGAATGTCCAGACTATTTTCAAGCCGCTGTTTGTTTTCGAAGAAATTACATTGGTGAAAGATGAGAAAGTGTCAAATGAATGCCTGATATAAAAACATAAATTTTATATAAAATTTGCCATACGTACACCTTATAGGTAACACTGTTACGGTACAAAAAAGTAAAATTGGTTCATTGACGACGATTTCGAAGACACTAATACTTTACACAGAATAGATCGAACATCGACCGAATATTAGATAAAGAGCGAGCAATAACTTGTCGTGAATCGCTTGATTCATTTTTTAAACTCTTAAACTCATCTGTTTCATTCGAATTGAATTGAATTCTGCCTACAGTTTTTCCATTTTTATTCATTTTGTCTCATCGATATTTTAAAATTACTTTCACTAGATATATTTCACGAACAATCGTCACGGTCGGCACACTAATTTCCTTTTTTTTGTCTTTTTTTTTTATTTATCTCGTTGTGAAATGTAAGAAGTGAAAAATTGAATAAACGAGTGTTGAGAAATATTGTATAGGGCAATTCTCATGGCAACACTGAGAACCTATACAACCAAACTTGATCTGGTTTTCGTGGAAGAATATAGGATAAGTCGTATCACCGATAAGTCTCGTCATCCTATTTTTTAATTTTAATTGTAACCTGTAATTACTTCTAGTAATATATATATAATATTTATATCTATGATTCATATGTACAAATTGTAAAATATTATATTACTGTAAAAGTTTTTTTTTTCATTGTAGCAGTGTTGTTTTTGTTCGTGAACTTTTTATAATTTATGCACAATTTCAACATTTGTCCGTCTTAAATAGCGTATCTAAGCAGACCGTGCGGCGGACGCAAAAGTTCTTCGTACGCCTATATACCTGAAATCATAGAGTCGTTGCTGCGTAAACGTAATTGTGACCGAATGTCTGCTATTGAAGCTTGGCTAAATGCAACAATCAAAGGTTTGAAAAAATGCGGCGTGCAGCGCAGAGCCATAAAAAACATCTACCCATTTTGCGCGCTCGCAGTAACGTACTCGCATCTTTGACGCGCGATTCACACTCACCTCGCCTACGACGGCGACTCGCGCTTATAATATAAATTTAATCGCGGAAGACCTTCTATGCGCTATTGGTACAAAACCATCTGTATTTCAACTTATTTCTTTTCCTATAGATCTGCATCGGTGCGTATATCCTTGTCACGCGTCGCCTCCATATTTTCCTTCTCACATTGAACTCTCATGCAGAACTCTCATGTTGTGTTTCTGATTACTACTTTTCTACTGTAAAAGTATAATTTAGAACAGCACCTGGGCTGTAACAGTGCAAATTTCCAATTGTCTTAATTGTCGCGTAAAGATCATCCTAATAAAGGTATATGGACGTAAAGCTGTTTTTACCGACAATAAAAGTTGCATGTTAACAAGGCTGCTAGGAAGATTTTTATACTACAACGAAGAAAACTTGAAGTGTACACTGTTCGAGTCCATCTTGTCACTGTGATGCTTTGTACGCACGTCGTCTTGTTATTTTCATTCAAAGTTTTGACCGTGAAAGCTCTATTATTAAGAAGAATTTATGCCCGGTACATGTATTCATAGACGAATGATAGTTTTGGTAAGGTAGTTTGGCTTCGTCGCGTAAATTTTAATCGAGCGAATACGTTTTTAACTAGTTGCTACTTCTCAGGACGAGTATGTATATTGGGAAATGCAAAGTACCATTCATTCGGATACGTAAGAAAAATGTTAGTTGAAGTTGATAAGCTGATTATTTTGTTGTCATCGTTGGCTTGTACACGCCATTCGACCGGCTGATAACTCAATTCTTAGTAGTAATTATTTCTGCCAATCGCGCTCTAAGCGCGTTTCTATGTGCACGTAACAGAGGACAAATTTTGCGCTTTGCCGTAGCCTCCTTCACTTGACGCGTACAGTCGACGATTAACTGCAGCTTGCCCGTAACAATTCGTTTGATAACGACAATTCGCGTGTAGCCGCACGAAGAAGGAATAACGCTAGCTCCGCATGCCTACGGGACATTCGAGTGTGATGCTTGTGCATATACGTCGTATATCGTATACGTCGATCTTCTTTCCTTTTTCACGGTACGTCCGGATTAACGGGGGAGGGGTGCGCGTGTCGGGAGGAGGAAGGCGATTTATCAGGCGGCCCGATCGCGCCACTTCCAGGAATTGTCGGAGGACAATAGTTCGGAGGGCAGACGCGAGTCTAATCGACCCACTCTAGCTGACGCGCCCGCACTAGTTACGAGCTCTGCTTTGCGGTGAGGCACCATAGGGGAGACGTGTGTACTGTAGCTATCATACAAGATGAAGGTTGGTTCGCCGGAGGAGAGGACGTGCAGTCCGTGGCGAGCTCGGCACAGGCGTCAAGAGCGCCGCCCACCCAGTGCACTAGAGCGAGCAGCGCCTGCATGCGGCGTCGTCGTCGTCGCCGGCAGCGACGAGCCGCGATCAGATGCTGGCCCGGTGCTGGTAGACCGGCGCCAGATGCAGCAGCGGCGCGAGCGACGGCGGCCCCAGCGCGTACTCGAGGTCGACGAGCTCCGAGGCGTGCGCCACGCTGGTCATGGTCGTGGTCGTGGCCGTGGCCGCCGCCGCCGCCGCCGCCGCCGCCGCCGCGTGCCCGTAGTGGTGGTAGTGCTGGCCGAAGTCCTCGTCGTCGGGCTCGGGCGTGAAGTCGTCGCCGAGCGAGCTGCCCGGCTGCAGCGGCTGCAGCGGCAGCAGGTGCGAGATCTTGCCGGGCGAGCGGCGCACGGTGTAGCGCGGCCTCCGACGCTTTTTGTAGAAGCCGCTGCAGCGGCAGCTGCACACCGAGGCGTCGTCGTCCAGCGAGACCGTCTCGCCCTGGGCGCCCAGCTGGCCCGACAGGATCGAGCCGTTGGCCGTGATCACGTCGCCCTCCAGCCGCACCGCTCCCTGGGCCGCCTGCCGAGAGGACGCACCGAGCAATCGGCTGAGCGCTCGTCTGGCCCGCGTCGCGCGGCGCTTACCTGCAGCGCCTCGGCCTCGTCGCGCCGCTCGTCCTCCGTGTTCATGGTGACGAAGCGCAGCACCAGCAGGTTCAGAGACGCCGCCACGATCGCCAGGCCGAACAGGATGAAGATGAGGGCGAACATGACGTACTCGGGCTTGTTGTCCAGGGCGTTGTCCTTCTGCAGCGCGACCATGTCGCCGAAGCCGATGGTCGTCAGCGTGATGAAGCAGTAGTAGACCGAGTCGAAGTACGACCAGCCCTCGTAGCGCGAGAAGGCCGCCGCGCCGCCGGCTATCGTCAGGATCGACAGCGTCGTCACCACGCAGATGAGGTTGATTTCCGAGGCCTGCAATAACGGGCGCGCAGCGTGCACTCTGGGCACTCGGCCGTGGCGTGCCGAGCGGGGCGGCGCCGCGGCCGAGCGTGGCCTCCACCTACCTGGATGTCCTTGCAATTGAGCAGCCGTTTGACGTTCCTGATGACCACCGAGGAGAACTTGTTGAGGCGCTCGCCGATGCTCTGGAACATGACCAGGCCCAGCGGGATGCCCACGATCGCGTAGAACATCGTGAACAGCTTGCCGCTTATGGTGTTCGGCGTGGAGTGCCCGTAGCCTGTGCATGGAAGCGCACGCGTTAGCCGGACGCAGCGCGCGCGTACCTTCAGCGGGGGGAGCAGGGAGGGGCTGGCTTACCGATGGTGGTGAGAACGGTGGTGGCGTAGTAGAACGCGCCGGCGAATTTCCACTGTTGGCCAGCCTTGTGCGGTTCGGTTTTCAGCACAACGGTCTCCATGATCTTGAAGTCGTCCGGGCTGATGTTGTACTTGCGTATCACCATTCTTTCGACGGCTGCAAGGGCAAACACAAGCCAATACAGGTGCACACGGAGGACCAGTTGAAACCACTGGCAAGCGGCTCGGATGGCGGATTGTGCCGCATACGATATATAGTTACCGTCGAGAGCTTCCTTGCGGCGTTTTTCGGTCTCGGACTCGAGCACGTCGAATATGGCTGCGCCAACGAGCAGATAGGTAAACGTGCAGACGATCAACGATAAAGTCCGGACGTTTTGCTTCTTCATTCTCTAGTGAGCCACATGCTCACTAGCTGGGCCTCGGCCCCAACTGCTCGCATTGCTCACTGACACACAGCAGCGCTCGCCGCCGAGGCGTCGCCGCCGACTGCGCGAACGGCCCGAGTCGCTCTCCGCCTCGAGCCGCCGGCCAGCATCTTCCCCTTCGCCCGAGTGCTACTCGCTATCGCCGGACGGTGCTGCAGCTCGCGATCTGGCCTGCCGGAGCTGATGCTCTCACCTGCGACACACAGCCGAGTCAGCGACGCGGGCGGCTCGGGCGGCTTGGGCGCTCCCGCTTACCCGCAGCCCGTGTGACAGTCTGGTCGGCCAGGTGCGTCGAGAGCCCCAGCAGAAAGCCGTGCCGGGGCTGTGCTTGCTTCTGCTGCTGCTGCTGTTGCTGCTGCTGCTGCTGCTGCTGCTGCTGCTGCTGCTGCTGCTGCTGCTGCTGCTGCTGCTGCTGCTGCTGCTGCTGCTGCTGCTGCTCCTGCTGCTCCCGCTGCCCCGAGCCCTCCATTCCTCGCAGCTTAACTGCAGCCTCCCGCGCCGAAGGGCCTTACTGCAACATTTCAACGTGGCCGGTCAGTCGCCGAGCACTTGCCATCGGAGTTGCGCGTCCACCGGCGGACGAGGAGCCGGGCTCTGCCCCGCCAGCGACGGGGGCAAGCGCTGCGACTCTCGAGCTCGGCGGGCAAGGACAGCAAGAGCCGGCGCGGGCGCGATTGGTCGAGCAAGGCAGCCCCCAAATGGGCGAGAGGCGCGCATGAATGAGTGGCGCGAGCGAGGCAACGGCTCGCTCATTGAGCAGCTTGCAGCGCGGCGCTCGATGTGCGCGCGTGCAGCGGCGGCCGCGAGCCTGCGCACTAGCCTACCGGCTCGTGTCGCGCGCAGCCCCGAGCGCGTAGTCGCCCGCGTACGCAGTCGCGCCTCGACTCGCGAGCCGACGCAACCGCACCGGAGCTCGGGGGTGCGCAGCGCAGTGCAGCTCGCACCCTGCTTTTGCGAAGGCCCAGTCCGGGACTCGTCGTTTGCGCCTGTCGCGCAGGCGTGCGCGCAGCTCGCCGCCATCGCAAGCGCGAGTAGTGCCGAAGCTCCGTGCGTCCTCCCTAGAGCGTTCGCCGCTCGCGGTGCAGCAACGATCCCGACGCTCGCTGCGGTGCGCCTTTCTCACATCGACCCCCATTCTCGCCAGCTGTTGGCCTCGACGCGCCCATGGTCCGTGCGATCGCCTACGCGCTCGTGCTTAACGCATGCACATGGATTCTCCGGCAAGTGACGCGTACCGATTGAGCTCAGGCACGTGAGTCGCTGGTATCTCGGTCGGCGCGTTCAATAACCGTGGCGCACTTGAATCGTCGAGCAGAGTATCTCTCGCTTGTCATCCGAGCAAAGAAAGACTGTCTAGTCGCCACGAATCTCCCCCAGCTGCGGCTAGCTTCGTGTTTTCTACTTTGTAACTTGGCCAAGCAGAGTGTTCTCAACGAATAGCCTTCGTATATCAATGATCTAGCACAAATAGCACAAATGACTACAGATCGCATGCTATTCAATTGATAAATTGTTGCCAATTGTTATTTCAGGGGCGCGATGCTAGAACCGATCGAGCGCCATTGACTAATCGAGGCTAATTTTAAGTTAATCGAAAAGCCGAGGGGGGAAAAAGCCAAACCACCAAGCGGTAAAAGCTTTTGAAATTATTTGAAACCCGACGATATCCATAGCTCTGCGAAGAGCAGTATAGTAAGTGCGCGGCCAGCGGCAGTCGAAAGAAATTCGATCAGTCGCAGATCTAATAAGCTCATAGACATATATATATATATATTCTCCGCGCTGAGCTTTTTCTCATTGTTATGTATTGCTTTTATGACTTACTAACCGATAGCGTTGATCTTCAACAATCTTCAACCAAACTTGCACTTTGAGTGATAGGGTTCGTGATCTCGTGTTACGGGTTACGGGCGACGATAATAAATCAAGAAAAAATAGGCTCGATAACTAACTGAACGCGGCCTGTACGAGCCGCGTGATGAAGCAGGTCAATTTGTTATCAATTCAAATGCCACCGTAGGTAAGCGAGAAATGAATCGACCGCACCGCTGAAAATAAAAATACCAGAGGCTATTTGCAATGGCTTTGATTCCAACGTCACTTGCTTGCGCCACAGCCACCCGAAATCATTGTACTTTAATTGTTTTCACACTAATACGCGGATCACCGAAAGATAAACAATCGCGTGTGCATAGGCATCGCATCGACTGATATTTGTCACAAGCATACACTTTTAGCAGTACACTTGGACATCCACTTTCTTCCTGCGAAAGGCTGTTATCTTGTCGTTGAGCCATTTTGATTTCCAATGAGATTTGAAATAAAATTTAGACCCACGCAGAAAAAAATCTTGAATGTCACACTCCACATAGCCTGACGGAAGTCTTGAAATTTGATTGGTATAAAAGCTAATGAAAAGCATACTCGATCGGACAACCTTTATATTCAGCAATTAAACACCTTTTTGGCCATTTCCCGACCATGTCACGTCGATCAAAATGAATCAGCCAATAATCGGCATTAACGACCCCTTAAAAATGGCTCTGAACAGTAACAGATTAAAACAACTGATACCTAGGCGAGCGCGGACACAGGCAGCACCGTCAGCTGCTTCAAAACTAGATCTTCTGCACGTAGCAAGTGAAAAAAATAATAGGAAGCCTTTTGTCGACAAGAAGAAAAATTCACGGTTATTTTTTGTAAAATTATGAAGGAAGCGATTGTAGGCACTTTGATATTGCAAAGGAAAGTACCTCAAGGGAATAATTGTGTGACAGTATAAGAGGACTTGTTTATAGCGATCTTACAGCAGTGTGGTTGATATTATGGTGCCGTTGGCGGTAGTTAAGTCATGATCGATATCCGCGATTACAAACGTCCGTAGAGGTTAAACTTGGACTCCGTACTCAGGTGGTGGACTGAAAACGAAGAGGCTCAACAACGCCGTAATTTTTCACGAAAACGTTGACTTGAGGATCGTGACCGTCAATGATTGTAACTACACAGCTAGGTAGCCGCAGTTAATGAAAAGCGCTGACGGTTTGCTGTCTTTCCTTGTCCAGCGCCATCTCCATTGGTCCATGGACAAGTGAAAAATAGATTTTGGCAATCGTGCGAAAATTCACTGTCATGGCTGACTGCCTACGCGCATTTGAGCCCACACACTGGCATCCGCCCTTTGTCGATGCTTTTTCGCGAAATGTCAAAATTTCAGCAGCCATAGCATCACCCACCATTGCGGAAACAGCCTTGCCAAGCTGCATTCACGTCGACGGCTAACAGGCGTGCTATCAAAAAAATATGTTGTTGAGTCGTACCAACAGACCCAACGCATTCGTTTGAAGGTTATGCAGCCGCACGCTGCGCGAAAGAATCGTCCGAGGAAGGTAGGTCAAACTGGTGGACAGATCTGCTATCCGACAGCAAGGTCGCATCCAAGTTTGTTAGTGACTTTTCCGAGCCTGTAATTCCCGGCTTTTCGCCAATGTGGAGCGTCCGCCAAAGTCAGTTGCTTCATTCCTGCCGGCCATGTCCTCACGCTCTGCTATATCGTTGAATCAGAGCTCAGGAATCGAGCGAATCCACGTACAGATACGCTAAGATTTATTCGAGATTCGTTCCGAGTTCCTCTTCGCCATGTCGATAGCTCGCTCTAGCAACGGATATTTTCGTTCTTCTAACGATGCGCCACTTCGAGCTCTCTCTTGCCACCCATTTTCTCCAATGTTCAAATATTGATTTCTCTTCAATTTGCTGACAAGATTATAACTGTACTTACTAACTGGCTTTCCATTATCTGAAAAATCACAAGTCGACTCATAACCTAATTGCTTATCGATCGAGGCGAGAAACAAGATGCCTGTAGCTCCATGTTCACGGTCAGCTTCATTGTGTTTCCATTGTGAAAATCAGCTATTAATACACTCGCAGAAGTCCTAATTAATTATCGAGCGAGCGAATAAAGTCATGGACTGATTTCCGTTTCAACAGAAACATCATCATTATCGAGGAGGCAGAGAGCGAGAAAGCTCGCTAAGTCGACCTCGACGATTCATTGACCACTTGCCGCGTCGCTTCGATTCATTGAATAAACAAATAAAAAGGTTGTATGTTAACGTTATTGTATAAAATTAACTGAGTCATGCCATCCTCTTTACCCATTAACTACGTCTCAACCGGATATCACCTGTTTCAAGTACATTATGCACGTGGTGTTTTAATTACCAAGCATTCGATTTATTTACTGGCGCTATCATTAATTTTATTAATGAATAGACTCGTCTACAATAAATCGGTTTATTGATAAGAGTATTAGCCGTCTGTTGACACGTAGTAATGAAATCAATATATACGTAAAGAAAATGATTAGTGCGATACTCAATTGCTTATAATAACTTGCCACACACAAGGAGTGACGTCATTAATAAAGAGAAGAAGATAAAGAAAGACGAAGTAACAGTGGCTTATTGGTTAACGTGTCTTCAACAGTTATATATATCTATATTTGTACGTTTTGCCCGCAATGATGTATTTACAAATAGTTACTATGCGCGGACACTCGTTTTATCGCAAATCAACGGTCAATCGCGCGCTTGCGCGTCGCTAATTGACATCGCCATGACCCTGTCGATGTGTTTATACTTTCTTATCCAATAATTTTTAGAAATCACACCGTTGGCATGCATAACTGTCGGTCTCTTTATTTTGATTTAGCTTGTGACGCTATTAATGTTAACTGATTGCGCAATGAACATTTCCTTATGTCAGACTCAGTATCAAAATGCATAGCAACTATTTTATTTTTATTATACGTTTGCTGCACCTTTTCCCTTTTCACATTTTTTGCCGTAGTTTTGTCGAATCTCCGCCACACATTGAGAAACAAAGGCCAAAAGAACACGTAGCCGCACAGCTCTAACGAAAAAATAATCAGCTTCGACTGCAACGTAGCAATAGCAACGCAGTATTATAATATAGCATTCTAATCTATTGCTGCACAGTTGGGTTGTGCTGCGTATTCGTGCCTACAGTAGTGACGTCAGAACGCAGCAGCACTATATACATTGAAAATGGGGCCACGGCCTTTCCTTCCTGTGTATGTACATACATACACGTTCGAGCTTACAGCAAACAAAAGCTTTTTTACACCCCCCCCCTCTCTCTCTCTCGCTCTCTGAATGAAGTGGCTGCAATTGATGTAGACAGTTTCATTTTTTGTTCTGCTTCCTCGACTAAAGAACTAAGGGTGAATCAATTCTTTTCAACGAAACTTTTCAAAAGAATAGAAAATAACCGTATTCAATAAAAATACCTGCCCGTAACTCTAATATCAATTATTAATGAAACGAATGGATTTTTTGACGACCCAACCCAACCCAACCCCTACGCGCACACACACACATACACACACACACAAAATTCATACACTAATCCTTTATACTATTCCATGTTTTTTATGCATTGGATGGTATCGTTGTCTAATAATAACATTCTTTTTTGTATTAGATTTTA